TTGGTCATATCAAGCGCCACGACGGATTGGAAAACATTATAGCAGAAGGCATGGTACCAGAAAGGAGGGGCAGGGGCCGACCGACACGAAGATGGGCACAGGATATAGTGACTCCTTGAATGGGAAAATGCATGAGGCGGGAGAAATGGCGAGTTTCTTTCAGGCAGACTGTGATGAGAGCGACGTTCTGCAAAGGACCTGCTACATGATGATGATGATGACACTTTAAATGCTTTCACTTGAAGCTCACTCACACGTTATTTAAAAAAAAAAAAATATTTTCTAAGATTAGCTCTTTTCATTTTAGAATTCCCTTCATTTTAGATATACATAACCATGCAAACTATGTGTTTTATCCAGTCGTCCCCTTGTGGGATACAATTTTTTTTATTTTTTGAAGCCCCACCCTGGCTTTTGTGGGGGCCCTGAATATAGCCGGGCCATAAATATGGCCTAACGGCTGAAAGGGTTTCTGGGGACCTCTTCATGGGTGATCCTCATCCGCATTGTGGCACTTTGTGTCACCGGGTGTTTATCGCTTGTGTGATGTCCGAGGGGGGGGGGGGTGTACAACTTCCTACCTACCTACATACCTACCTACCTACCTACCTAACCATGCTAGCGGTGGCTTCCCTCACTGCAACAGACCACATACTATACACAATGTACCAGGATGTTGGCGAAAAGTATGTCTGGGGAAAAAAAAATTGTCCGCCACAGCACGACGTCGCATCTAAACAAACAATTTAACTGGAGGAAACACCATCATAGAGGCAAACATGGCTGTACACAGGATCATAGGTTTTGGCCTGACATACCACCTAGCGCCTGGTACAAAAAGAAAATCTACATGAAGTTCGCAGTTTGAACAGTTTAGACACGGGAGTCAGCAGTAAGTTTGGTTTTGGCTTTAAGATGATTGATAATTTCAGAAAATAAATTGAACGTCTTCGTTTGCAGTGTTATAGGCATAATATTTGTTGATTTCTGTGTCGTCTGCGATATAAACAAAGAAACTGCATAATATTTTTCTTAACCACTTACTTCTGCCATCTGTTTTGTTTGTTTATGTTTTAGAAAAATCGTTTTTTTTTTTCTTAGGAAGAATAAGGATGAGATAATTTTATAGGTGATATCAATACAGGCGTGTCTAAGAGTAAGGTCTCAGTACAGGCCTGGTCATGACAGAGTTTTATTATCATCATCAGGTGCCTTGCCGACTGGGTTTAGATGAATAATTTTCTTTTCGTCGATTGTATCTTTCATTATTGAAATAAATAAATAAATAAACACATAATTATAAGATTTGTTGAAGTTAATACACCATTATGCTTACACAAGTAATACGATAAGTGTACTGCTTCGTAGTCAAGCCTTTATTTATTCTGCGTTACTTCACAATAAGACGTGATGTTAGTTTCCTTACCATGTTTTCTTTCCATGTTTTCTTTCCAGACACCATAAGAAAATTGTGAAAATGCCCATAAAGTAAAAAAAAAAAAAAATAAGTAGATTTCTTTTTACGCCTTTAAGCTCATCGGGCATATGGGAAGAGCACCCATATTTTTACAGACCAATCGGCACTAGGTGGGTAATGTGGTCAGCATATCGCCGTCCGTCTTTACTTCACCAGGACAGCCATCCTGGTACCCATTTTAGGCTGGGTCGACCTGTGACGCCCCATACCATGATAAAAATCCATGCAGCCGGCAGTGGGTTTCGATCGCGGTACGTTGGAATTACGAGTCGGATTCGCGACGCCTAAGTCACGGACGCCGTGAAAGTGCCCATATGGCCATTTTATTTTTCTAGTCTGATCCTATAGCAGTTACAGTAGGAGTAAAGCACTCTGCCACAACTGGAGAAAGACCCCGTCAACTGATTAGGTGACGAGTGAACTAAGCAATGTGCTAAATATGTTTATTTTATTGTGAGTTTGTTTCTCTTCGAATATATTATACAAATATTTAGGTTTGAGGTTTGAACAACCAATCAACATCATGGCACACGGGCAGAAACCCATAAGTGCTCCGTTCGACTTCTAACTCAAGTCTGAGTCCGAAGTAGTTCAGCGCAGTGCACCGGCGAGGAATCTGAAATATTTTGGCTAGATTTTTAACTCCAAATTTTGCCAAGGCAGCGCCGTTAGGCTTATCAGTGACCAGAGGAAATTACTAGAAGTCCTTGCACGGGAAAAAATCCCAGCCTTTGCCGGGGTACGAACTCGGGACCTCTAGCACCCGAGGCGGACACCATACACTAAGACCCCCCCCCCCCCCCCCATACATAATAGATTAATGTACATGATAAACTATATACAATAAAAAATTTTTAATGTAAAGCTGCATACATTATTTTCTGTCTCCTTCCCACTCACATCTCTTCTTCCCTCTCTTATTTCCTCTCCCTCTTTTATGCCTACCTCCTCCTCAAACTATCTCTAAAACTATCTCTTTCAGTCTCACTCGCCTCACCCAGTGATCTTTAGTTACACCCAATGTTTCAAGGCGTCTAGATATTTTTCTTAAAAGGATGGTTGACAAATTGTGTTTTGGTTTACAGCATATCTGGCATTACGACCCATGTTGTCAATGTCAGTGACGGTTAGGGTATTTGGTGTCAGTTCCACAGATGTACAGACTAATCGATAGAGATGTTGTCAATGTCAGTGACGGTTAGGGCATTTGGTGTCAGTTCCACAGATGTACAGACTAATCGATAGAGATGTTGTCAATGTCAGTGAGGGTTAGGGTATTTGGTGTCAGTTCCACAGATGTACAGACTAATCGATCGATAGAGATGTTGTCAATGTCAGTGACGGTTAGGGTATTTGGTGTCAGTTCCACAGATGTACAGACTAATCGATCGATAGAGATGTTGTCAATGTCAGTGACGGTTAAGGCATTTCGTGTCAGTTCCACAGATGTACAGACTAATCGATCGATAGAGATGTTGTCAATGTCAGTGACGGTTAGGGTATTTGGTGTCAGTTCCACAGATGTACAGACTAATCAATAGAGATGTTGTCAATGTCAGTGACGGTTAGGGTATTTGGTGTCAGTTCCACAGATGTACAGACTAATCAATAGAGATGTTGTCAATGTCAGTGACGGTTAGGGTATTTGGTGTCAGTTCCACAGATGAACAGACTAATCAATAGAGATGTTGTCAATGTCAGTGACAGTTAGGGTATTTGGTGTCAGTTCCACAGATGTACAGACTAATCGATCGATAGAGATGTTGTCAATGTCAGTGACGGTGAGGGCATTTGGTGTCAGTTCCACAGATGAACAGACTAATCAATCGATAGAGATGTTGTCAATGTCAGTGACGGTTAGGGTATTTGGTGTCAGTTCCACAGATGAACAGACTAATCGATAGAGATGTTGTCAATGTCAGTGACGGTTAGGGTATTTGGTGTCAGTTCCACAGATGTACAGACTAATCAATCGATAGAAATGTTGTCAATGTCAGTGACGGTTAGGGTATTTGGTGTCAGTTCCGCAGATGTACAGACTATTCGATAGAGATGTTGTCAATTTCAACAACGTTTAAGGCATTTGGTGTTGGCTCCATGGGTGTTCACTACAGATTATTCTAAGAGAAGATGCGGCCAATGTCAGTGATGATTTGGGCATTTGGTGTTAGTTCCTATATATATATATATTTTATTGTGTTTGTTTTCGCGAAGAGCGACTGGCTGAATATATAGAGCCTTGGTCTTTTATGTGAGACACACGATTTCTTCTTCTTCTTTGCATTCACCGGCAGAAAGTTCTTGTTGTTCCCCCACTTCTAGACTGCAGTCCTGTTTCTGAGCCTGAGTGTTGCGTGTGCATGCGTTTGATAGATTTGACTCAATAATGTGCAGACTGTTGGTTCCTTGCCTCTCAGGCAGATGTACTCTGACTTTGAAGGAAGCTCCTAGTCAGTCGACTCTTACGAGATGCTTTTGGGTAGGCAGTTGGTCTATTCTTGTTTTCCCCATAACAGGGCCCCGGAACCCACACTGGAAAAAGGGATTTGAAACCCCGGTAAGGATAAACGTAGGTTTTTTTTTAACCATCGCGGAAAAAAGGAAATATTCTAACCTGCACAGTCTGTGGCGACTACACTAGACACGCGGCCCTAAGTCCAGAGGCTCAAGAGCTCTCCGCCCTACTCAAAGTAGTAAAAAGAGTCAGTAATAGGACCATTTGCAACATCTTCAGGCGTATTCAGCACACTGTGTTTGACCTTCATTTTATAGACCAATCAGCACCTGGCATGTGATATGATCAACATCATGCTAGGCACTTTTACTTTCCAGGTCTTTACATGGTACCAAGTTAAGGTCATTTAAAAAAAAATTGGCTCTACTAAGATTTGAACCCATGACCTTTTGATCCGCAGGTGAACGTCCAGCCACTACATCATGGCAGCTCTCATTTCTTCAAATAACATGTCCAAAAGTACCCCTACCTACGTCTAATTTGTCAGACTTCAATAAATTGAAAAAAATGTATTGACTTTTAGGTCTAACCATCCTTTATTGGGTAACAAGAAAAAGTCCTGGGATGTAAAGACGGCCGGCGTGGTGCTGACCACATCACCCATCGAAGTCTCATGGACTCTCCTGTTTTCAAAGTTCTTCCACTTTTAGTAGTCATACTAAAGAAAAATGAAGGGCTGCATTAAAAAATAACTGCCTTTATTACCACGAATGCGGTGTAGGCGTCTTTGAGCCTGAGGATTTAAGGCGGCATGGATAGTGCTGTTATTATTTTGCCCTCGACAGGAAAAAATCCCCAGCCTTACCAAGGATTCGAACCCGGGTCTACCGCTTGAAAGCCCAGCGTTCCAACCGTTCGGTAAAATAAATAACTCCTTAAAATTAGGCATGTTTCCAGACCACCATTTGAAAAAGACTGCCCTAGTCGTTTCATCCGTCCTGATTATTCGTCCTTGATTATACATAATCAAAATGAAAAAAAAATAAATTATTATCCGCGACAGATACTATGGCAAGTCGGTCGCCATCTTCCCTGATTGTGACACTGATCGTTGCCTTGCTGTCTCTGGGAGTGGGTCTGGTGATTGGGTACCTACTGCGTCCCTTGCAAGAGGCCGAGCACAAAGTCATCGCTGGATGGATTGGCAGCGCCGACAAGGAAATGACAGACGAGAAACTGGCGGCCCTTGAGATGCTGCGGGATTGTGGCAATTTGGCTAGGGAGAATACCATCATCAGCAAGTGAGATTTACTTTTCTTTCTTTCTTAATCAATTTCTTGTTTCCCCCCCCCCCCCCCCCCTCTCTTGCCTGATTTCTTTTTTTTTTTTTTTTACTCTAATTTTGTTTTTTATTGTAAAATGTAAACTAGTTTCCCAGTGTCTTGTATTAAAACGAACAATTTCATTAATGGCGGATATGCCCTTCGCCTGTGTATTGCTGGGGCCTATTAGCAAAGATTAGTAGGTTGCTATACATGTCGTAAGAGGGCAGCCATATTGAGGATAAGGAATGGAGGGGGGGGGGTGTGAGGCTTTGGAAAAGGAGAAGGGGGGGGGGGGGAAAGTGAGACTAGTTACCAGATTCCATAGAAAGCTTGAACTATGACACCCAGTTATGAGTAAAGCTGCAAAATACTTGGTGTCAGTTGGCTGAGGAGCTATGCTCAGCTTCTGCTGGGAAGAAGAAGACGGAGGAGAAGAGGAAAACGGAAGAAAAAGGGGGAGGAGATGATACTGGCATTGTACTTATAAGTTCCTCGTGTGGATTCCAGGGCCCCATTGTGCCGAAAATAAGAAGTCGGAGTGCATCTGCGAAGAGAACAGCAGCGAGCAGCTGCACATAAATAAGTCAGTAAAACGTTTCTATGTATAAAGTTTCTCTTATGTCCGCCATAATGCAAGGCAGTCAGAAATCATGTCTCCACTCCCCCCTCCCCCCATTATTATTTTCAGTTGTTTCACTATTTTCCACTGTTTCTTGTCTAAAAGTGTATGTTAGCTTCATTTTAAGCATGCAGTCTACTGTAACATCTGGCCTATAATCTGCACTTTCCATTCTTATCTCTGTGCGGGTCTATTCTCGAGATCAATGTTCTTTGGCGAGCATTAGAAATAAAGTTCTAGAAATATGCTTTCCAAATTACATAGCCCAAAGATATTCAAAATAATTTCAGAAGAGACGATATTTTCCACGAAGGCGTACCTGCTGGTGCAGACAGCTTGTAACCTGAATGTTTGTTTCATCGATCATATCAGATACCGTCTCCACAATGAAGGTTGGCTGTAATAGATCTCCTGCACGTCTGCCAATAGTCTTGGCTGTAGACTCAGGATGTTGTTCGTCCATTTCTTGATGTTGTCCTTCCATCTGTATCGTTGTATTCCACTTGCTATCATGCCCTCGACTTTTCCCCCACTATTGTTTTAAAACAAAAGTGTAGTGTAGTCCAACATTTTTCAGTCGTGTCCTTTTATTTCTTTTCCATAACTCTCTTTTTATTTTCGCAGTCTTTCCAGAACCTCTGTATTTGATTGTTTTTGTTTCCATAAAATACAGCCTATTCTTCTGTATATTCACAATTCCAGAGACTTAAACAGCTGTTCATTGTCTACGTTTCTGTGCCATATAGCAGGGTTGAGTATATATAACATTGTCTACGTTTCTGTGCCATACAGCAGGGTTGAGTATATATAACATTGTTGTGTAAACTCTGGTTAGTTTATTTCGATGTTTGAATGCAGGCGTTTGGTAGAGAGCGAAGTAGAAGCATGTCGAGCGTTGACCTGTGACCTGCCTTACCCCCGGACCTTCGTGGTCTACAAACTGGACGGCGAGACCGTGGATCTTGACGGGAGACTGGAGGAGAAGGCCTGGACCAATGTCGGCTGGTCTGAAGCTTTTGTAGGTTAGTGTATGATAATGTCAGATATTTGTTACCGTAGAGTTAAATATTCCCTATCATCACTCGCCTTCACTGGACTACAGGTTACTTAGTAATCGTTTTGTGGTGCCCTATTAAAACTGCTGTATGGCTTTGATAAGTTGGTAGACATGACTACCAACGCCACCTGGTATGGACTTGAGGAAGAAGAAGCAGAAGAAGAGCAGGAGGAAGAGGAAGAAGAAGAAGAAGAAGAGGAGGAGGAAGAGGAAGAGGAAGAAGAAGAAGAAGAAGAAGAAGAAGAAGAAGAAGAAGAAGAAGAAGAAGAAGAAGAAGAAGAAGAAGAAGAAGAAGAAGAAGAAGAAGAAGAAGAAGAAGAAGAAGAAGAAGAAGAAGAAGAAGAAGAAGAAGAAGAAGAAGAAGAAGAAGAAGAAGAAGAAGAAGAAGAAGAAGAAGAAGAAGGAGGAGGAGGAGGAGGAGACGAATAATATGGCAATACTGTTGAAAGGGGTTTCAGGGATTTGCGCCTGTGTGAGTCTCAACCTCGAGGGTTAACCCTTCAGACTGCAATCTTTGAGAGGAAAATTAGTTAATTGACAGTCTTCCTTCCGCTTCTCCTTATCTGTTTCTCCTTATTCCAGTCATCATATTGAAGTGATGGTGTGTGTGTGTGTGTGTGTGTGTGTGGGAAAAGGGGGTGGGGGGGGGGGGGGGGGGTTTTCAAGGATCTCCTGCTTGATCATTTTTATGTTCTGTGTCGTTTACTCTTTACTTCTCTAATGTTGTTCTTTATGATGTCGCTCCATCGATTACATGGTCTTCCTCTGCCCTTGTCTTGCCTACTCTAAGCCACGGTAGCGACTAGGCGCTTGACTGCGGCACCGGAGAACGTAGGTTCTAATCCGAACAGAACCGAACTTTTTTCTTAAAAAATGACCTTGGCTCCTAGATCGACCCAGCCTTAGATGGGTATCAGGTAATATATTGGGAAGTAAAGGCGACAGGCATGATGTTGACCACATCACTCATCAAGCTGCCAATTGGTCTGTAAAGGATAGTTCTAGCACTTTATGCCCACGCCTGAAAGCATGGAAGAGTGTATTTTACTTTTACATCTGAGGTGGGATTGCCAGTTGCCTACCTCACCGCCTTTTCTTCCCAGACAATTCAGAAGAAGGTTCTAGTTACGAAGTTTGGCCTGACTACACAATGGCTGACCTTTCATTCATGCTTGCTCAGGCTAGTCTATGTTAGAGGGGTGTCACGTTGTACTGTTTTTCATCGCAAAGCGTTCTGCTCTGCGTTGCGGATTAATCATTGCTTTGTGTCTTTTCATCGATTGCTTGCGTGATTATTTTCTTGTTCTCTTACCTGCGCGACGGTTAGAGAGTATGCAAACAGCGATATTTACTATTCCTATGTTCCTTGTAAGTTCTGTCTTTCTTTCAGAGGAGGAAGGGAGGGGGGGGGAAGGGGGGTTACGGCCAACGAACGTAGAAATACAAACAGCATTCCAGTTTCAAAACTCAAGAATTGTCCCACCTGTGACGCTTTCCCCTGCAGTAATTCTTATTTGTACAAGGCCCAAACAGCGCGTAAATCAGCTTCCCCTCACGTGACACGGGCTAGTCTACGTTTCAGGGGTTTCACGTCGTCTTCTTTCGTATGATATCAGCGGCAATGTCGCGTGTTTTATACTACACGACGACACTGCTTTAAACGACCCCAGAACATCTAGAACTAGCCCTAACCTTACCCCCCCCCCCCCCCCCCCCCCACGTCACAGCTTCAGCTTAGGTCCCAGTCCAGATTACGTCCCCATAGTTTGAGAACTGTTAACATTTTCCTCTGCACTATAAAAATCCTTACCGCTGCAGAAAAGCAACGGTCTCCTCCTTGTCGCTCGCCAACACTGACAGATCACCTAAATTCATGTTGTAGCTAAACTCCGTAATATACACAATGTCGGCACCCGCTGCCAACAAAAATTACAACACACTGCGTAGCTCCCCGCCTACAGACGCACAATACTACAATAAAAGCAAGAACAGAAATGCACGTTCAGAAAAAAAGATAATATTTGTAAATAAAATGAATTATTGTAGCTTTGTGCTCATCAACAACAACCACCGAGTGGAGGAATGCTCTCTTCTACCCTCTAGTTCAGTGGCTGTCAAGCTTCCTAAAGCTCTGTCAAGCTTCCTAAAGCTGTAACTCTTTAATACAGTTCCTCATGCTGTGGCGACAACCAATCATACAAATATTTTTGTTGCTACTTCAAAACTTCAATGATTATGTGTTTTCCGAAAGTCTTTGGCGAGCCCTGTGAAAGGGGTTGACCACAAAAGGGTCGCGACCCACGGGTTGAGAACCGCTGCTCTAGTTGCACTTACATTATTTTGGCATTCTGGACTGGATGTTTTCTTTGTAATAACCATTACACATGGTTTTTGTGTGTGTGTGGGTCTGTTCGAAAAATGTCCTTTGCATTGGCTTTTTGTTACAAATGTATCAAGCTTTGTAACCGCAATTCATTTCAGCGTTCAAAACTGTATCCCCATAAAGCAGACTATGTCCATTACAACCACCAACTGATATTTATTAGTAGATTGTCTTCCGGTCAAAATAGGCACGGTCACTGTTGTGAGCCGTGACACATTTTGTTGCTTCTACCAGACAGTGGCAGGTGCATTTTTGCTCCATTTGTAGACTGAAAGGATAGTTTCGTCGCCCAACTTCTGAGTTGAGTGCATGGCGTGATACTGTGAGCTGCTGATTTCATTTGGAATGCTTTTCTACTGTAACCAACGTGGTTGTGTGAATTGTAGATTCATAAAATAGCGCGATGTCTGTTGTCGCAATGTTGGTGGTGCCATTATGTGATTAAAATTGATCTCGTGTGCAGCTGCTGATCTGTTGGTGACTTCTGCTACCATCTATGATGAACTGCATTTCTAATGTCGGACTTTTTGTGTTAGCACTTCTGATGGCTACCGTATGCTTTTTATGCGTGTGTATGCTAGTGCATATGCTGAGACTGCAGTCTGTCAATCTTTCCCCAAGGGACTGTGATTAACATTCTTTTTTGTTTGTTTCGTTGGGGTGACCTGTTTGCTATGAAGCTGAAACTAAGATTATCAGATTACTAGAATTAGTGGAGTATCTTGTATGAGTCTCATTACTGTAAATTAACATATGATTTAATTATACAATTTCATTTGTTGAATTTTTACTGTTGTTTATTTCTCTTTAGATATTCAGGGTCGTGGAATCAACAAGCCACGCCTAGAAACAAAAGTTAAACTGCGGTATGACGACAACTTTCTCTACGTGGGTGTTCTTTTGGAAGAACCGGATGTGTGGGCGAATGTTACACTGCATGATGGGACAGGTAACTTAACTTCTCGACTCTAAAATATGCATAAGTGCTTTTGAAAGCCCGAGTAGACTGAAAATATTATAAACACTAATACTGTTATTACTATTCGTTAGCTTAGCAGAGTAACCCAGCAAACGATATTTCCACCTGTTGTCACCTGCTTCTGCTCTTTCTCATGCTCTCGTTTGTTTTGCTGCTGTTCCTTTTCTCCTCCTCTCGTTTCTCGTCTTCTGCTTCTCCCGTTGCTTCTTCTTCTTGTTCTTCCCTTTCTTCTTCTTCTTCTTCTTCTTCTTCTTCTTCTTCTTCTTCTTCTTCTTCTTCTTCTTCTTCTTCTTCTTCTTCTTCTTCTTCTTCTTCTTCTTCTTCTTCTTCTTTTTCTTCTTCTTCTTCTTCTTCTTCTTCTTCTTCTTCTTCTTCTTCTTCTTCTTCTTCTTCTTCTTCTTCTTCTTCTTCTTCTTCTTCTTCTTCTTCTTCTTCTTCTTCTTCTTCTTCTTCTTCTTCTTCTTCTTCTTCTTCTTCTTCTTCTTCTTCTTCTGCTGCTGCTATTGCTGCTGCAGTCAGTTATCTCTCAATGGAGCATAGGCTGTCAACCAGCTCGCACTTAGTAGCCCTATATTTTATCATCGCGTGCAGCTCACCCACGTTCTTCCCACCTTTTCAGTCGTTCTCTTACTGTCTTTTCCTACACTGCACCCCCCCCCCTCTCCAGGTTTACTCAGTAAGCATTTCATATTGCATTTATAGTTTGTTTAACATGTATGGATTCATTGTTTCATTTCATCATGGTGTCAAAGAAGTAACAACACACGTACACACATATACACAAATAGAAAGAACTTCACACAAGGGAGTTAAATGATTATAAAGTGACAGTCCTACATGTTTATTCTCCCGCAATAGACGATGCAGTGGTTATCACGATATTTCCTCACACTAGCGGCATTTTTTTCCCCTATAAAATTTGCTGTTAAAAATTTTAGACTTGGCCCACTTGAAAATTCTTTATTTCGATGGAAACCAGAACCCATGACCCCATTCAAGCATGAATGAAGAGGTGATAGACTATTACTGTAAGTAAATTAAGTGAAAGACCCTTTTCCACTCCTTTAGGCGTATAGGACATACAGGGCTAGACCTTTTTCTATAGACCAAATGGTACAAGATGAGTGATGTGGTCAGCATCACACAGGTCGCCTTTACGTCCCGGGACTGCATCCGGTACCCACTCAAGGCTGGGTCGACCTAGGAGTCTAGGTCATTTAAAAAACAAGTCCAGCTTCGCCAGGGAGCGAACCCACGACCTTCTGATACGCACGCGAGCGTGTAGCCACTACACCGACTATCACGTAGAGAAGAAAAATGCATTTATTCAATAGACTACATTCAACCGTTTGCTGTGATTATGGTGTGTGTGCGTGTGTGCGTGTGTGTGTGTGTGTGTGTGTGTGTGTGTGTGTGTGTGTATGTGTGTGTGTGACATTTCAACTTCCTCCGTTTTAATTTGCCATTTTCAACTTTCCTACCGTCACGCTGTACTCAATCTTTCTCTTACTCATGACATGACCAAAGAACGTAGATTGTCTCCTTCTTTGTTTGTTAAATGAATTGTATTTATAATGACGTTTTATTTACTCAGTTAATTATACATTTTTGTATCTTAAATATGTCCACAGTATACCAAGACAATTCATTTCAGGTAAGATCTTGAACTTTCGCATTCCCTTTTAGTCTTCCAAATTCATCTTTTCATCACACAACTGTCTGTTTCCAATCGGGGCTGCTTCTCGACGATTTGATCAACCCTGTTACTTCAAAAGTGAATTGTTGGATCGCAGTCCAACATGACAAATGCCAGAAATCCCGGTCAAACCCACAAGTAGTTACAATCGGCACATTTGCCGGCTATACCAAGAGATGTATTCCGCAATCACGTGTTAATGTCACCCCATTCATCCCGAGACGTCTTTACTACAGAGGCTCATATATCTATATTAATAAAAATGTTAATTTTCCGTATTTGTTACGGCTATTCTCCGAAAGTTTTTCACCGATCGCTTTCAAATTTTCACACAACGTTGCGTTCGGCTCCATGTGTGTTTTTATGTAAGAGTGTCGCACAAGCTAAGAACGATGTAGCTTCAGCAACGATCAAATCAATATTTGTTTCGTTGTCTGCCCAAATTTTGTTTTAAATCCGCCGACCTTTGACTCTTTGTGTGTGTGTGTGTGTGTGTGCGTGCGTGCGTGCGTGCGTGCGTGTGTGTGTGTGTGTGTGTGTGTGTGTGTGTGTGTCCCCCCCCCCCACGAAAGAGTGCAGCCTAGGTCTCACGAATGCAGGCAGGCTAGGTCCCACGAATGCATGCAGCCTTTCTACCACCCCCGAAATATTAGACTGTCTCGTGACCTGTGGATTTCTCCTGGGTTCAATGCAGCACCATCTTCTTTGTCTCATAACTTTTGTTACCAATGGTTGTCCAGACATTTCTCTTATGTGTCCAACCTTCTGGAATTCATCACATAAAAATGAAAGAAAAGAGTTTTGAAAAATCTTGTAAAACTATAATGTACTTTAATGGTTAGATAGGGAGTGCTGCGTGGTCTCGAGGCATGGCGTCTGCCTCGAGTGCTGGAGGTCCCGGGTTCAGGACCCTGTAAAGGCTGGGATTTTTTCACGTGGACTTCAAGTAATTTCCCTTGGTCTTTGGGTAGTAAGATCGGACGCCCGTGTGTATTGTTGCACATGAAAAATTCTCTTGGTAGTTGAAAATCAAAAAAGAGTAGCCTAACGGCGCTGCCCTGGCAAAATTTGCAGTTAAAAATCTACCCAAAATATTTCAGGATCCCCGCCCGTGCTACGGAGTTCGTTCACTGTGCTAAGGTTCTTCGGACTCAGGCTTGACTCAAAAGTAAAACGGAGCACTTATAGGTTACGACCCTAGTGCCATGATGTTGATCCGTCATCTAAACCTAAACCTAATGGATAGACAACCACTTCGTCGTATTTAAGAAATATTAGTAAAGGCATGGAGCAGTGGGATGACCTTGTTTAAGAACCTCTTTGACCATGTATCCAATCACAATCTTAACCCGACAAGGACGGCAGGGTAGACCGGGGTAGTACATAGTGTAGTCGGTATGGGTGCCTAGATTAAAATTTCTCTGAAGGTTGAATGGGGTATCTAGGACTTGTTGGTCTGCCATCAAGAATGCCACTCTGGAAGTCGCAGGATTGGTCACACCTGTAAGTAGCAGACTCGAGGGAGAAAACAAACAGGAAGATCATTGACTATACCTCGATAGTTAGCTCTTCAATAGAGTATGCATTGACTATACCTCGATAGTTAGCTTTTCAATAGAGTATGATATCTCATCTAATGCTCTCATGGTATGCTCCTAAAGAACTTACCCAAAGTATAAAAAACTGACTTGCGAATAGTCTTTCACAAGAGGCTTCAAGACTACAACAGTCCAACTATGGAGGCGATACTGTAGCATCATTTCTTTAGCAATGAGTTAAGAACAACCTTTTCCGCAGGAGAAGGTTATACTAAAGATTTTCATGGAGAGATTAAAATATTTATCACTTAAAAACTAATTCCATAATAGTTACTTTCTAAAAAATCTAAAATACGTAAAGAGAGAGAGAGAGAGAGAGAGAGAGAGAGAGAGAGAGAGAGAGAGAGAGAGAGAGAGAGAGAGAGAGAGAGAGAGAGAGAGAAAGAGAGGATAACGATGAGTGTGTTTATGTTTTCACGTAGTATCTATTTGTAAGCTCATTTTAACCTTCCAGTGGTCACAACATGTTCCAATTACCTTCTTCGACATGTTTGTGAGCTTAGCTACTTTGCCATTTTATCTTACCAGCGGGCACAACATGTTCCAGTTTTCTTTGTCTACATGTTTGTGAGCTCAGCTACTTTGCTATTTTATCTTTCCAGTGGTCACAATATGTTCGAGTTTCTTCCTTCTACATGTGAACTGTTTGTGAACTCTGCTCTTTTGCCATTTTAACGTGCTTTTTATTTGTGAGCTTTGTTACTTTAACTTCTTAACGCAGTGTATTTAACTTGTGAGTTCAGCTGTTTAACAGTACTAACGTGTATTTTATTGTTGCAGTTGTTGGTTGATACAAGACAGAGCAACGTCAAGTAAGTCCATTTTCAGCTCTGTCAACAGATAATACGAGAGCCGCCGTTGTGTAGCCGCTAGATGCTCGTCTGTGGATCGGAAGGTCGTCGTTTTGGTTCTATATGGAGCCCAACTTCTTTTTTTTTCTTTTTAAAAGATGACTTTGGCACTCAGGTCGATCTATCCTTGTGTTGAATGGGTACCAGGTACAGTCCTGAGATGTAAAGGCGGCCGGCGTTATGCTGAACATATCACCCACTTAATGCTGAGCTGTCTATAAAATATAGTTTTAGCCCTATGTGTCCAATGCATGGAAAAGGGTTATTTAACAACATATAGTGCCTAGCTTACTAGCGTAGTTGCTTAAAGCTGACTCAGCGGCGACCGGGTGACGAACTCTTTGTGGTCCGGGTTCCTGCCAGGGGGTAGAAAATCCACATTTCTCCCAGATTTACGTACGATATCTATCATAGAATCAAGGCTGAAGGGTTGCGATTTTCATAGTACCGAGCCAAAGGGTAAACAACTCATGGTTTCTGGATACTTGAAAACACGTAGTCTCAGTCAGTGCGGACAAGACCGGATGACGATAGGCCTGGTAAATGAGCTTCCACGTGTTGTGGCGGGTATGAGCCCTCCTCACAGTAATAATTTCACGGGAGCTAAGAATCCCCCACCTCCCCCTCCCCTCCCCATGAATAGAAGTTCCTCTTTTAAGCACATGTTCATTCACTTGTTCATACTATCCCCCCCCCAGCTCTTTTTTTTGGGCTACTCATCACATTTATTATTACACGTTTAAACAAGGTTTATGCCTCTTAAAACCACCTAGAAATTTTGAAGAGGCTAAGCCCCCCACCCCCACCCCCTCGCTCCCCTACATGATAGTGTTAAGTGTGTGGGTGTTTATGTGCCGAAGCTGGATGTGTCAAACAAACAATAACAGACTTATGACTCTATAAAACGCTCTTTGTCATTTCCGTTTAGTTACAAGGAGATCACAGTCAATGCCCGAGGGACTGTGTCCGATCTCATGATGACAAAGGTAAAATTTAAATACTATTATTATTACAGAAAATATCTCTTTTTGTCTGTTTGTCTGTCTCAACCCTACTTCCCACATTTGTTTGCAGTATCTCTCAATCACCCTTCCCCTCTCCTTCTCTCAATAAATGTCTAATTTCTTCCAATCTTTTTCCGGTTTTCTGTCTATCAAAAACTCACTAAATATCTCTGTCAACGTGTCTCTCTATTCGCCACACTCAACATATTTCTTATAATTTCCATACAACAAATCAAAATCCCTCTTAATCTCTAGTGTTATTTCATACAATTTCTAAACATTTTAAACCTTCTCTCTCAATGTCTTCCTCGCTTTCACAAAAATCTATCTCAGTCAATTTCATTTCCGAAAAATATCTCAGAATATCTCAGGATCTCTTCCAACCTAATACTCTCTCTCTCTCTCTCTCTCTCTCTCTCTCTCTCTCTCTCTCTCTCTCTCTCTCTCTCTCCCTGTGTTTGTGTGTGTATGTGTGTGTGTGTATATATGTGTCAGTGCTGTCCTAACGCACGAGCACCTGTTGACGTGCCCGGAAGCCATACGTGCATAGGTCACCATGTTAATCTGGGTATGTCAAGTTCATTCCTATGAGTCATTGTTGCAAGGGCCTCAGCACACTTATGTTATCACAATCGACGTCTTTTCACATTGGGTTCCTCCAAGTGTGCTCCGTCCTCCAATGCAGCAGCCACTCCAAGGTACCTCTACTGATTGTTTCCATGAGGGGTTGGTTATAATATATCCTGTCTTTACCTCAAAGACGACATTGATGTGCTTCGCCAAGCTTAACTACTCTGTCACGCAGTCGTGTTAGCATCAGAGATTCGCCATTACCCCGAAACCTAGTCCGTACAGCGTTGATAATATCAGCTCTATCCATGCTTCTTCCAGTTTGCATTGGTGAATTACTTGCCAGATGGTTAGCTTTTTCATTACCATGTACTCCTGCGTGCCCAGATTTTAGATCCAGATGATGGAGGCTAACTGCGACTTCCGAATGCTTTCTACCCATTCGGAGCGGAGACTAACTGTAGAGATTTTCTGAAGCATGTTCTTGGAGTCTGAAATGATTCCCGCGATTGTGGCTGCTTGTTGTGCTACACTTGCGGATGCTCTGGTAGCAGCAGTTATCTCCATGGTTATGTTTGACGTAGTTGTCTGGTTGGCGCCGCTATATTCTTGTAATGTTTTCCCCACAAGCCATGAATGTATACTGGTGTATCCATCCATTCCTGGGTTAGATATTTTGCCTAGGCCATGCAGGAGAAGCCTCTTTTTAGACGCATCCCTCTTATATCACTGATAGCGTTGTGCAGTGGGTGTTTGCTATCTGCTGATATCCTCATATACGCTTTCATCTGTGTCACTTTATGTCTGGTGGCCATAGTCAGTAAACCCAGGACATAGAGCATGGTGCGAGGTGTCTTTTGTGCGGCCAAGTCTCATGGCATCATTTCGTACCCAGTACCCAGCACACTGGTTTACCCAGAGGCCCATAAAGCTACTGATATGGCTCTCTCTCTCTCTCTCTCTCTCTCTCTCTCTCTCTCTCTCTCTCTCTCTCTCTCTCTCTCTCTCTCTCTCTCTCTCTCTCTCTCTCTCTCTCTCTCTCTGCCTCAGAATATTTTTTCCAACGCAAGAACATAATCACAGATGTTGACTTTATAATGACGGCTTTATAAAAAGTCATTGCCTTTTATATTTTTGTTTCCAATAGTCCTATGTAGACGGTGGAGAACCTCTGACCTTCTGGGAGAGCGAGGTCATGTCTGAAGTGTTCGTGAAAGGCACGCTAAACAACCCCAAAAGAAAAGGTACTTACATGGTAGACAATGCTAGCTTATGTATGGTTTACAGAACAACGCAAATGAGCGCTATGAAAACAAAATTTAATCTAACATAGAGCCAGTGGGGTAGGAAGGCGTCATCACTGAGGGTGACGGCTAAGAGAGGGGTGGTAAAAATATTTTCAAAATTATATATATATATATAGGGGTGAGGGGACCGCCGTGATCTAGCGGCTAGACGCTGGCCTGCGGATCGGAAGGTCGTGGGTTTGGGTTCCTGACAGGGGCTGGACTTTTTTTCAAAAATGATCTTGGCTCCCACGTCGACCTAGCCTTGATTGGGTGCCAGGTACAGTCATGGAAAGTAAAGGCGGCCGGCATGATGCTGACCCAACACCCACCAAATGCCGTTTGGTCTATACAATACAGGTCTAGCCGTATATACCCAATATGTCTATAGGCGTGGAACCTATCTATCTTCTTCTACCCCACCAGGACATCACACAAGAGATAAGCACCCGATGACACAAAGTGCCACCATGTGGATGAGGATCACTAGTGGATAGGTCCCAGAAACCGCGTTCAGCCATAAGATCATATTTATGGTCGGGCTATATTACGGCGTCGGCTCTGAGGCTAAGTCGATGCGAACGCTTTGTAAAACCGGGGTGCCGGGTTCGATCCCAGCTGCGGACAATGCGCCTTGCATTGGTTTCGACAGTGGTATCAGGGGGCCGACCGTCCAAAAGAAATGGCAAGTTACTGGACGTAAATTTGCCTAGAGAAACCACACAACAGCCAGGGGCTGCTAGTGTTGGTTCTGCAACGTTATGTAAATGATACGCAACTAACCTTTATATTGCGGCTTCTGGCAAGAGCCAGAGTAGGGCTTCAAATAACGTAAAATATCATCTCACAAAGGGATGACAAGATATTAATGAGTATTGGGCGAAGGCGTGGAAAAGGGTCCTTTACTTATATATGAGGGTGAGGTGGCAAACAATAAGTGTAATTTAAAATTGTGTATGTGTAAATATTGTGTCATCTACACAGATGAGTACTGGACTATAGAGATAGCTGTTCCTTTCGCTTCCCTCTACCAAGGATCGGGTGCCACCATCAACCGGACTGCGCCGGAAAACGGCGAAACCTGGAGAGCTAACTTCATTAGGTCAGTAAAACTGTAAACAAAGTTAAAAGTCGAGATCAGATCCGTGACCGCAAGCCGTTTCTCGCTCCGGGCTGCTACCTATTGACTAACTACCATGAGATTAAAATAAACTTAATCCGGTTGGCAGCTAACAGGGAACAACCCAGATATTCTACTCAACTATTACAGAAGTTGAGGGCTGCATGGTCTCGAGGCAAGGTGTATGCCTCGAGTGCTAGAGGTTCCGGGTTCAATCCCCCGTAAGGGCTGGGATTTTTTCCCCACATGGCCTTGGTAATACCCCCTGGTCTCTGTGCATTGTTGCGCAAGTGAAAAATACCCTGGCAGTTGGAAATCGAAAAGAGTAGCCTTACGGTGCTGCCCGTGCAAAAATTTGGAGTTAAAAATTTGCACAAAGTATTTCAGGATCGTTGCCGGTACTGCAGAGCCTGTGCACTTGTGCTGAGCTTCTACGGACTCAGACTTGAGTTAGAAGAAGAACGGAGCACTTATGGGTAACTACCAGTGCTCCGTGATGTTGATCCGTTGTTCAAAACTTCAAACTATTATAGAAGTTATAATAAGGGCACCCGTAACGGCCACGCCCGGGGTAGTGAAACCTGCAGTCCAGTGTTGTTAAGGGAGTTGATTACAGTTAAATTCACTGCACTGGGTTTTTATCCCAAAAAAGCTCGGTTTTTCTTTGAGGTTTTGAACAATGGATCAACATCATGGAACAACGGTAGTAACCCATAAGTGCTCCGTTCTTCTTCTATCTCGACTACAACTCTGAGTTCGAAGTTGCTCAGCGCAGTGTACTGGCTCCGTAGCACCGGCGAGGATCCTGAAATATTTTGGGTAGACTTTTACCTCTACATTTTACCCGGGCAGCTCCGTTAGGCTACTCCTTTCGTTTTTCAACTGCCAAGGGATATTTTACGTGCGCAACAATACACATGGGCGTCCGATCTCACTACCCAGATATCTGGGTAAATTACTAGTAGTCCACGTGAACAGAAAACAAAGTCAGCCTTCACAGGGGCCTTAACCTGAAACCTCTAGCACTCTATGTGGACACCGTACCTCGAGACCATGCTGACCTCAGTTTCTCTTTGAAAAACGGCTAGTCGCCTACCGACAGTAGCACATAAACCTGTTATTAATCGTGTCCTTGTAAGAAATACTTGTTTACTGTAAACCAACAGATAATTTTCACTTTCCCTTTTTTGTGGTTTATGGAAAAAATAGACGTCGATTCAAACAAACAATCAGTATGCTTACAGTAAACTAAACAACAGGAACTTTTCAAAACATCAAACTGCACGCGTGTCATAGGCGGTTCACTCTCAGCTGGTCAACTCCAGCATTACTCTCCGAGGAGTTGCGGACTTTTCATTGTATGCTGGATTTGCTATCAAAATAATCAACAGGCATGGCTGCACATGTGAACTGGTTTTTAAATAATCTCCACACGTGTGTCAGTTACAGTATGTTTTAGGGGCACATACATTATTAGTAAAACAAAGTTCACAAAAATTCGTCGCTTAAGGAAAACAGCAACACCTGTGCAATTGTGAACTATGAAATAAGAAGGATATGGAAAATCTAAGGCCACAAGCAAACATTCGTGTTGATACGTAAAGGAGTTTTCGAGATATTTGTTAAAGTGTGGGGGCATAACTTTTGAAACGCACCATAATACTATCGGCGAGGCGTCTGCATATTGAATCTTCATAATCACAACAGTAAGGGGCTGCGTGGTCTCGAAGCATGGTATCCGCCTCGAGTACTGGAGGTTCCGGGTTCAACCCCATTAAGGGGTAGGATTTTTTCAACTGGACTTGGACTTTTAGTAATTCCCCCTTGGTCTCTGGGGAGTAAGATCGGACGCCCATGTGCACTGTTGAGCACGTAAAAAATCCTTAGGCAGTTGGAAGTCGAAAAGAGTAGTCTAACGGCACTGCCCAGGCAAAATCTGGAGTTAAAAATCTACCCAAAGTATTTCAGGATCCTCGCCAGTGCTACAGAGTCTGCGCACTGTGTTGAGCTTCTTCGGACTTAGACTTGAGTTAGAAGAAGAACGGAGCACTTATGAGTTACTACCCGTGTGCCATGATGTTGGTCCGTTGTTCAAACTTCAAACCACAACAGTGTGACTCAAGCGGATAAGCTTATAATTGTATTTAAACATTGAAACTTTTCGATGCAGAAAACCTACACAAATGCAGTCATGCAGACAGACAAATTGATTTCGTCTACAATAGTATATAATATAAATTACGTGGTGCGGCTTACAACAATCCAGGCATTGTCTCTCTATCTAGGGCAGAGTGGCCTGTCAAGAATGAAGGAAAATACTACGAAAAGGTAAGCGAAATACATATTACATATCCTAACAATTCATCATCATCCTGTAGCAGGACTTTTGCCAAACGTCGCTCTCGTCACGGTCTGCATTAAAAAAAAAAAAAAAAAAACCTCGGTCTCGCCAGCTCTCCAGCCTCATCTACTTTCATTGGTCTTGGTCTTGGTCTTGGTCTTGGTAAAACAATAAAAAAAAACTTGGCGCCTCTTTCAACCGGCTCCTAGATTGAGCAGTGGTTATATCGAAGGCTGTGTTTTTGTGCCTGGAATTCGTTTTCCAGTTATCGTCAAGTTTCTGTTGCGGCGTTTATATTACGCCTGAGGTTTGCTGTTGCATTCAGAGTGTAGGTAGGGATCTCGGTCTGCCTTAAAAAGGGCTAACCATAGCCTGGGACGGCCTGGATCGGGTAGGGTGGGAGTCAATTTGGCGGTGGACATCATGCCTGGCTGGTTGCGAGCTGTGAGGTTTCTCCGGGCTGGTGCGCGGGCTTCAGCTGTCATGGCGGCTTGTTTATGGGCTGTTGCAGTAAGTAGGCCGTTTGTATTCGAATGTAAACGGTTTGCTGTTGGTCACTTTCTTGAGCGCTTCTTTCGCTTTCTCTTGTTTGGCTAAGTTTTCTGCTACCAGTTTCTTTGCTTCTTTCGCTTTCTCTTCTTTGGCTAAGTTTTCTGCTGCCAGTTTCTTTGCTTCTTCTCTGTCTGCTGCCTCTATTGCTATTCTGTCTTCCTCCTCCTGTGCTTTTTCTGCTGCCTTTTCTTTTTCTTCTTCTTCTTTCCTTGCGTTGTCGAAGGATTCGAAAAGCAGCTTTGTTCTTCTTTATTTTTCTTTCTTGGCGTTTTCTCTGGCGTTGACAATTTTGTTTGTGGCTTGGAGTGCTGCTCTCAGTTTGGTACATTCTTCGCTTGATCTCGTTAGCTTTCCTTTGGTTTCTGTGAAGTCTTTCTTGATATTCGAGACATCGGACAGTAGGCTTGCCTGATTGTCTTTCAGTTCTTTGGCTGCTGCAGCAGTTGCTTCCTTCATCTTCTTGACGTCGATTAGATTTGCGATCAAGTCGATTTTGAATGTCATCATTTCTGCATTTTCCTTCTCTAGTCTCCTCTGGGTCTCAAGTGATGACTGCAGGATACTTCTCAGGCCAACCATCTCGTCCCTGTCTTGTGTCCTGAGTGCCTTGATTTTTTCGTTCTCTTCACGCATGGTCTTAATTTCGTCCCTCAGATGTGCAATTTCGTTGTTGTTCGTGGGTGCAACTGTCGGCCTGGGCGCCTGGGATCTTCGTTTCGGCTCTGGGTTGTGAGTGGTCCTGGTGGTGGTATTCGCCATAGCTCTCTTGACTTCCTTTAGGTACCGGCATCCCATGTACCTAGCGCTGTGTGCACCGGAGCAATTAGAGCATCTTCTACTTGCGTTTGGCTTCTTGAAGTCCGGATCCACTTTCGCTTTAGGGCATTCCTTGAAGAAATGTGGACCGAAACAGTAACGGCACGACGGGCTGCTCACGCATGACGATGCAGAGTCGCCTTGTTACAGCGAGAGCACTGCAAAACTTCTTTAATGTGGGCTCCCGGTCGCTGCTGCTGCTGCCTGAGTGGGCGGGTGTTGGTTGATTCCTGCGCCACGCATAGGGCGACTTCTAGGTACACTGGTGCCTCGATCGGGGCTACATCCAGGGCTAGCGGCGTCTGGGTGAATGAGGCTGTCGTCTCTTCAGGGTCGTCGACCGGTTCTGGCATCGTCGGCACCGTTGGGGCTGGTGCGACGACAATTGCTTCCTCCTTTTTGGCTGAGGTCGACCTGGTATCTCGGCGCTGGGTTGGAATCTTCTTGCTACGGGCCATGATTAATGTGGCTATGGCTGACAAAGCTGTACTGGCCGGGCTAATCAGGTGCTTGGCGAAAGCTTTCAACTGACAGCACGGCAAGGCTTGTTAAGTATCCTAAAAAGGACACCAAGCGTGCTCCCCAGTCAGTATTCAGACAATCGTTTCAACAATGGTGTGTTTACGGGCTGCTAATAACTCAAACGCAGACGACCCCGATAGCGTAGTCGAGACAAACTCAGCCGAATATCAAGCGAGTAATTGTCCAGTATCTAGCTTCGAGAATCAGGCTACAAATGGGTAGTTAGCGGGCGACGATTCAAGACACAAGTGGCTTATCGGACGGTGTGGCGTGAATGGATGATGAACTGCGAATGATACAAATTTCTGGCGGACTGATCTACTTTCATATACAAGGGGTCACTTTTATCCTGTGCCCATCTTTGTGTCGGTCGGCCCCTGCCCCTCCTTCCTTGTACCATGCCTTCTGCTATTATTTTTTGAACTGCGAATGATACAAATTTCTCGCGGACTGATCTTTTTTCGTATACAAGGAGTCACTTTTATCCTGTGCCCATCTTAGTGTCGGTCGGCCTCTGCCCCTCCTTCCTTGTGCCATGCCTTCTGCTATTATTTTTTTTTCCAATCCGCGCTTGATATGACCAAAATATTTCAGCTTCCGAGACAAGAATCTTCCTTGATGTTCAGATGTAAAATTTCAGTATTTCTCCTCGTCTTTGTCCGTGATATTCTGTGAATCTTTCTATAGCATTTCAGCTCAAAAGCCCATATTTTCTTTCTTAAGGATTGGGAGATAGTCCACGACTCACATCCGTTTGTTGCTACAGAGAAAATGCATGTTCTCAAAATTTTAATTTTGATTTTCTTGCTGGTGCCTAACCTAAGACTGTTGATGCTGTTTAATCTTTGCATTGCTATGGATTTCCTCTTTTTTGATTTCTGTTGCTGTTTATTATAGAGCCTAGCTATTCAACGTTTGTGCCATTTTCCTCATTTATTTTTATGTTTGGGTGTCAGCCAGTGTTGTCTGTGGACATTATTTTCGTTTTCTTTCAATTCAAGAATAGTGTTTGATATTGACTGTGTTTTTGGACAGACATGATTACATTTTCTATTCACTGTTAGAAAGGAGGACTGTGTCATCTGCGTAGCGAAGTATAGGCTTGCCTGCTACCAAATATGAACAGTTCATAACTGTCACAAGTCTGGTCATTTTTATCAATTCACAAATACAAATACCAGGTACTGGTTTCGATTATGGTTTTAATAAAATCTCAACAAGAAACCAGCAGGGAAAATATCAGATTCTTCGTTTAACCCCAAAATCGTTATAAATGGGTCACCCCTAACGGCTACATCAGCTCTGCGCTGGATTAAATAGTGTTTAGTCTTCTTCAGCACATTAGCACTTTTTATATCACATATGCCACCCCCACCACCCCCCCCCCAAGCTCATTTCAATCAGATGCCATCTTCACAAAGGAAGGTTAACTATAACAGATCTCCAGCATGCTCACGTCTCTCACCTTAACTGTGCGAGCTTCGAGACTTTGCTGGAAGTGACCATGCCCCCCCCCCCCACTAGTTTTCAAATAGGATAGTGAGGAACACATCTAGTGCGATTTCCACTGGCAAAGGAACAGAGTGACCAGTGGGCAGTGATGTCCGAACCTCTACTAAGGACTAAAAACTAGCACTGGTTGTGCTATTTCTCGAATTGATGTTGGGGTATCCCTTGATGTTATTTCCTTTTTGTATGCCATACTGTTTCACTTCACTTACATCGTATGACTTTCTCCTACCTTTTCTCTCATTCACCTTTAGCAGCTCCAGTGGGCTTGACAGCTGAAGATCAGACATCGTAGTGACCCGATGCATCACGATTCAGCTGTCAATCCAAAGGAATAGGTTCATGACCTCAGTTATCCTTTTTTTATATTTAAAAACGAGTTATACTTTTAGACATTAATCTTCTTCTTCTTCTTCTTCTTCTTCTTCTTCTTCTTCTTCTTCTTCTTCTTCTTCTTCTTCTTCTTCTTCTTCTTCTTCTTCTTCTTCTTCTTCTTCTTCTTCTTCTTCTTCTCCTCGTTCATCTCCTCCTCCTCCCCTTTTTCCTCCCCCTTTTCAACATTCCAATCCCTAAATGTTCTTTGCCGCAGATATCGCCCTCCTCGGTTTATCTCTGAAAGTGGCCTTTTCACTCTAGCTGTTGGCTTCAAGTGTCAAGGTCTTTTCGTGGTCTACTTGAGTACTTCCATTCAACTCTTTCGTGTACGCACATGATCTGTAGTAGATAGTTATCTACAAAACAGCATTAGAATTTAACTCAACATAAAACACCGAGAAGAACAAATGTTTAATAAAATTAGTGAAATTAAAACAACTCACAACTGATTGTTTACCTCTCTGCCAGCAAACTGACGCCAGTACTGATTGGTGGGTGTGGCAAGCACCGGAAGTTGTCAATGTACATTTACCCGAAAGGTGAGTTCCTATAACTGTATTCAAGTAAGTAAAGTAAAGAACCATTTTCCTTGCCTTCGGGAATATTAGACAACACCTATATTTTATATATTATTGGATGATGTGATTAAAATCATATTGGCCGCCTTTACTTCCCAGGACTTAACATTGTACTTATATAACCAGTGGTATGAAACTCTACCTTTTCTTTGTTCAGAAATGACCCAACCTTGAATAGGTACTTTACCCTAAGATGGGAGCTGATTGCTCTATAAAAATACGAGCGAACATCACCCCTTCCTATCTCCCCCCCCCCCCCCCCGACCTCAGCTAAAAAACGCAGCTTTGCTGTATAAGGTCACAGCGCAACTATAACACTTAGATGAACGATGTAAGGTGAGGATGACAGTTAGATGGGACAAACCCAGATATCTTGTTCAATCTCCACGATGGCTATCCCAAATGATGTAGTGATGTGCCATCAGGGTATCTATCTGTTTATCTATAAATGTCATATTGAAAGTTTTTATCATGATGAAACGAGGTAAAAGCTTAACAGATGTTATCAAATTAGGAATGCTTTCAAATGGCAGCCACAGTTACTGATATCTTCTTGTACCAACATCAACTTGTACTTGCAGGTGGGGACTAATACAGTTTCAAGACTCCAGAGTCAACAGTACTGACTTTGTGAGAAACGACAAATGGATTGCAACAAACGCATTGCTGGACACATACTCCGCTTTGAAGGTAAATTACAATGCTACTCCAGTTAATCCTCATTACGGTAAACTCGTTTAAGAAGAACACTGAGTTAACATGAACACAGTTTTGGTCACAACAGAGAAATATTACTTTTGTCACAGCAGAGAAATATTATTCTTCGTCCCCGGTTTGCAGACATTTTTTGTAACATAAACTCGATCTTCGGTCCCTTGAAATTCTTGTTCACGAGTTTTTACTGCATTTATAATCATTATCGCAATGGTCAGTTAAAAGTTAGTTGCATATCGTTTACAGGAAGTTGCAGAACCAACCCCACAATTTTTTTTGGCTGTTGTGGTTTTTCTAGGGAAATTATTTTTCAGTAGGTTGCCATTGCAACTGAGCGGTCGACACGAGGTACCATTGTCGAGACCAACGCAAGACATTCTGCTGCCAAATCGACCGCAGCTGGAATCGAACCCTGTACCCTGGTATTACGCAGCGCGGCCGTAACTGCGTAAGCCACGGACGCCGGAAGACCTCAGGCTCCGAGATACCCGTGCCTACACCGCAAAAGTGGTCAATACAAGCAGTAATGGTTGTTTTTACAGTAATGTTGCCCCAGTCTACATTTTTCGGTCATGTGTCATGTTATGAGAAGGACTAAACTGAAGTACATCGTGAAACTGGGACAGCTGGAGGGACAAGTGACACAGGGGCGCCGCCAGAAAAGATGCTGGACAGTCTGACATAAAGGCATGAAAAATCGTCTATGTCAAAATCGATTGCAGTAACAAGAGACGGAAGATTATGGATAGAAGTTACCACCGCCACGAACTTTAAGAAGATTTTTTCTCATAACATGCCCAGAAAATCTTGACTATCCATGTCTGATTTCTCTAAACAGTGTACAGCGCTTATCTCCGAATGAAGAGTATCCTGCTCGTTCTTTTCTGCACGTCTTTGGTAATTTTTGCAGTCTTCCGAAAACCACATTTTAACTGTATTAAATAAGGCAGCATCAAGTTACTTGAATAGAAGAGAACTATTGTGATTCAAGGCGATAAGTCGGTTGGATTGTGCAGATCCGGCCATATTTAGGAGTTAAAATAAGAAAAAAATAGTGCCATGCATATGTAACCACCTTCTTCATCGTTGAAATGTTGCTCCAAACATTAGAGCTGGTCATCTTGCAGCTGTCCATCATAACCCTATATAAACCTAATTAGGGTGCTTCCCGCCATTTTTGTGAAGGTTTGACACCCTGAGATTACAAAATCTCAATCTGGATGACAAACTAATAGGGTGTATCGCGGATACCGTGTTCAGCCTCCAAAAATAGTTTAATTAACGGTCTCATGTAGCCTCATGTATTAACCTAGCCTGCAATCCTCTTCGGATAACCACTTACTTATTAACCTAGCTATATCTTATGATGCGAACATATCTCCGTGTATTATATGGAGTCGCATAATATGATATTAATCTGATATGATAACTTGTTATAGGTCCTCACGCTCGTAATATACTCCGTTCATTCATAACAGTATACCTCGTAAGCATTACGAACTGAAATGTTCATCTTTCAGGCCTTCCACGCTGTGACAGGACGCTACACCGACAGAAAAGAGTTACTTCGTCTGCCAACATACATCCTCTCTGGCAAATGTCTGGCAGACCTCCATATTGATCTGGACTGGACAGGGTTCAAGGTTACAGCTCGGTCGCTTGGTAAAAACGCAGAGGAAGGTCACGTCAGAACAGACCATTTCCTTTGGTTTGGGAAGGAGGACATGCAATATTTTTAATATATGTATGTCTTTTATTGCCACTTGTATTCTTGTGCCATGCTCAGCTTTCAAACACATCACTGAAACATACCCATCTCACTTGATTTGTAGCCATTTGAAAACTGCATAACAGTTTTGTTGTTGTATTAAAATGCCATGTGCAGTGTACAGAATTTAATAAATAAATTGTGCACTAATGCTCCATGAAGTGTCATGCCAGCACCTTATTGTCATAAATTGCTAATTTGTTCTGTTTCCTATGTAGTCGAATGAAAACGAAACAAAATATACTAACCTCGTTTCTCACGCGAAACAGTTACATTTTATGAACCTTATTTTAACCAAGTCGAAACCAAGGTAGCACTTGTAGTTTTAGGCACAAATGTTGTGTGTTTTTCATTCTGTTAAATTCGACCCCTAAATGTAGATGACACTGCGTTTGTTTTTCGAACACTCTCTCACTTTCTCACCGACTGTTTTATTATAACGAACTAAGATTATCCTGTTATAAAACGATAGATGCGCATTCTACACAGACACACACTTGCAAGAAACCCCTGCGCACCTCTGCCTCTGCTCTAAAATTACTTGAGAACTTTCCGGTTGCAGATGAATGTGTTTTCATTGATTCATTTTTCAGATTTAGGACGATTCCCCCACCTCCATCTTCTGTTGAGTTTGTTTGATGATCCATCTGTATATGCACGAGTCCAGGTGTAACAACTTTGCTATTGTCCAGTAGGACGGACATGTAGTTTAATGTGATTTTCTTTCTTTCTTTTTCATTCTCAGTGTTCTTGTTCTCAATGCCAGGAATATTTTTTATCAACTCAGGCAGGTGCTGCCTGTCTCCAAGCAGCGAACTTGCATGTAATTGGGCGGGTTTTGATACTGATAAGTTAAGTACAGGCTCTTCCTTGATTTTAGTTTGTGCAGTCTCTACAAAGCGGCGTCCGTGGCTAAGGCGTTGCGAGTCCGACTCGTAAGCTAGCATACCGCGATCGAAACCCACAGCAGGCTGCGTGGATTTTTATCGTGGTATGGGACGTCGCAGGTCGACCCAGCCTAAAATGGGTACCAGGATGGGCTGTCCTGGGAAAGTAAAGACAGCCGGCGTAATGCTGACCACATTACCCACAGAGTGTTGATGGTCTGTAAAAATATGGGACGCTCTGCCCATATGCCCGATGCGCCGAAAGGAAAAAAAAAAAAAGTCTCTACAAAGTTGTTTTGCTTTGGTCTTTCCCTTCCCAGATGATTAAACCTTTGATACATGGGGTGATCTGTCAGCCTTCTAAATTGTTTTGCTTGTTGCTGGGCTCTGCTCTCTCTCCTATTCTCCATTGGTTGCAGACCTGTGACCTTTTCTAGGCAGTTTTTTCATGGTCCCAGTTATTCCTTGATTTTGAAAAAGTTTGACTTTTTTACTGTTGCCCAGGCTGCACTACCATATTCAAGAATTGGCCTTACTCGTCCAGTGTATAGTTTCTTGAGAACTTTCTCATCAGCTCCCCATGTTGTGCCTGCAAGTTTTTTCATGATTGCCATTCTTTGCCTTGCTGTTGTTCGACTTGCCTCTACCTGTGTCTTCCATGTCAGGCGGCAATCAAATGTGACACCTAGGTATTTTGGGTTGTTCTCTTGAAGCAATATTTTCCATTTAGCACTAGCTTAACTGGCTGTTTTTTTATTTGAGAGGGAGAACACATTGCATTTTGTTTTCTCTTCACTGATTTGATTCCATTTGATTTGATTCAAGAACCGACATCACAGCACTCGGGGCATTCCCATAAGCGCTCCGTCCCCATCTTCAGCAGCCAGTGAAGAGTTCCGATACTAATGGTGCCAGCAGCATTCTTATTAAACATCCGACTTGCCTATCCTCTAAGCCTCGAGCATCTGCCAGAACCTCTCGTCACTCCCTGCTGTATCAATCTCACCAGACTATGGTGATCTATCTGCTCCTCCGAACTGTACACGCTCTCCCACAAGGCACTAAACACGTCTGGCTTATCATGTATCAGTATGCCACCAAGTTGTGCAGAGCCAGCCAGTCTGTCCGCCTGTTCATTTCCCAACACACCGGTGTGACCCGGTTAGAAAAATACAGACAATACTCCTCACCCGTGTCCTCCGCAGCGAAGCATGCCACTCTGCGCGAAGCATACTTGTTTTGATCTTCCTCAGCATGCTTTCTGAATCAGTTACAATCACGATGTGTATGTGTGTCGTGTTCTCTAGCCAGCGGAAAGCTGCAGTGTGGTATGTTGTGGTATCATAGGCTAGGCTCTCCTGCACCAAACGTCGACCATTAGCTTTTGCTAAGAAGCTCCAAGCACTTCTTTTGCCTCTTGACACTGAACTGTCAGTGTAAATGGTCAAATCCTCTGAGCGAGCATTATCTTGAATTAATTACGGAATTTCCACCTCCGTGGCACCTGCTGGCCAGTCTCTGCATTCCCGGCTCAGCGTGATTATGAATCTACACAGGTCTGACTGCTCAGGTGGCACTTTGACCCACTCTTCTCCTCGCCTAATGTTCTCAAGGATGTAAACCTGTCTGATTGTGTCATCTGCCTGATCCATTCATGACCTCCCTCTTATCAGCCGCTGACCCTTAACTGCACCCAGAGCTTCATGCAGATGGTGGTCTGTGTCTGCAGCTACCCTGAGATATGACTTTGTCTGCAGCACCTTGTGCCTACCTGCAACCGTCGGAAAACCAAGGATGTATCGCATACACACCACTGGGGTGTCTCTGGTGCAACCCAGAATGACCCGCATAGCCGCGTTATCTATGCGCTCTAGTTTGTCCATCTGACTCTTTGAGGTGGTAAGCAGTCCCAGGCCATAATTAACCACTGACAGGATCAGGTGCTGATATAGTGTGAAAAGCATTCTCTGCTCTATGTCAATTGCAGCCATAGTCTTAAGTGCACTAAGTCCTTTTTGGCATCTTGTCACAACACTCTCCACATGGTCCTTAAATGACAGGCTCCTGTCTCTTCACTAATATTTACTAGCCATGTTTTTGATCATTCGTCTAACACTGACAAGGCTTGTGGCATTCAGTTGTTGGCTACACTAATATGTTCTTCGCTAGTCCATATAGTTAGGTCGTCTGCAATGAACGAGGTGTGTACTCTGATTGGACAATTATTTGTAATATCATTTAAATATGCTAAGAACAATGTTGGTGACAATACTCCACCACATCAATTTTGTCTTCATGAATACAGTTTGTTAGAGACAATTTAGTTCATAACCAGCGAGTGCCCTTATATAACTGTTTTATACATCTGAACAGTCTTTCTGAGGTTTGCTCAAGTTGGAATCACATCTGAACAGCGTTTCTTGGAGTCACTGAATGTTCATCTTTCAGTGTGCAATTTTAGAAAAGGCAAAAATTCGACCGGGAGTCGCCGTGGCAGAGCGGCTAGACGCGCGCCGCGGATCGGAAGGTCGTGGGTTCGCTCCCTGGCGGAGCCGGACTTTTAAAAAAAAATGACCTTGGCTCCCAGGTCGACCCAGCCTTGAGTGGGTACCGGGTGAAGTCTCGGGAAGTAGAGGCGGTCGGCGTGATGCTGACCACATCACCCATCTTGTGCCGTTGGTCTATAAAAATATAGGTCTAGCCCTATATGCCTAAAGGCGTGGAAAGGGTCCTTTACTTTTTTTTAAACTAAAAATTTGACCCCTCCCCCCAAAAAAAACTAAAAACTTAAACTTCTTCTGAGAAAGATATTTGCCTTACATGGTGTAGTTAAAATTGCTAAGGCAAGCAATGTCTCGATGTACTTAAAAAGACCAATTGATTCGTGTCTAATGGTGATGTGGCTGATCATGTTTGTTTGGTTTTTGTGTTGGTGTTAACATTTGCAGCTCTCATGACCTGACTGAAAATCACAGAGTGAATGTATGAGGTGGTGTCAAAATGTTATTTGCCAACTTGTACGCTTGGAGGGTTTTGTCTTTATGTGGGCGAAAAACAAAAACAAAATAACTATTGTCTGGAATTTTATGTCAATTCACACATCAATGTATCTATAGAATAAATAATGCGAACTAGTGAAACATTAAAACAGCATTTTTTATTTTATTTATGATAGAAACATGAAAAATGATAAATAATCAACAGGCGTGAACAATGTTTCTCCTTCACTACTCCTAAAAAGAACAGAGGTCAAACTAGAATTGTGTTGATTACAACGAAGTTGTGATGTATTTACTTTTTGATGTTTAAATAAACGGCTTATCTTTCTTCTTCAATGCACACACAAGTTATTTGTTGGTGACAAATAGAAAGTTAGTGTCATCACAGCAAGTTCCCTTGGGCTATCAGGCCTTCAAGTATTCTAGATCATAGTACAATAAAACATTTACGAAAAACGAACTCACGCTGCGACTAAAGGTCAATCAAAACCTTGGGTGCCTCATTATAACCAAGATACAGCTAAATAGGCTTTCTGGGATTTATTACTTTTGGATTCTCATCCAAATGGTGGCTCTTTGAGTCAATAATGTTAATCTCTCAGGCTGCAGTCGGGGGAAAAATGGGGTGGAGGGCATTTAAATAAAAACTAAGGTGTTCTCATAAGTTCCCTTCCTCACCATCTTCCTTTTCCCAGAACATTATAAAATGAACTAGTACTTTCTGTTATGAGACTGGGTCAACCCCAAGAGCCGTAGCATCTTTAATTTCCTAAATATTCCCAGAACATTATAAAATAATCTAAATTTTCTGTTGAGACTGGGTAAACTCCCGAGAGCCGGGTTGGTTGAAAACAAAAATCCTGCAACTGCTGGGGACTGTACTTGGTTCACGAGTGTGTGCATTAGCCAGTATGTTACTGCAGCCGCTGTTTGCAGAAGGTTTAAATCCCTGTGCTGGGTGCCGTGCTCATTTTGGAGAGAAAAATAACACGCAAACTGGCCTTAACAAGCATGTCATAAAAGGCATCTAATTAGGGGTGTTTCCTTTGAAGTCAAAGCACATCTGCCTGAGATGCAGGAAACCAACAGCCTGCGTACAAAATAAGCTAGGTCAGGAAAATAGAAGTACACGCAAAACTCAGGTCCCGGAACAAAGCTAGAAGTGGATGAACAGCTTGTGAGGGCAAATAGCAGAAGTTTTACATTCTTCCAGGGAATCAGGCTACACGTGGCTGTTATTTGGTGTAGCCATTATCATCATCGTCATCAGGTGCCTTGCCGACTGACGTGGGCGATCAAGCCTCTCCATAATCTGCGATCTCCTGCAGCATGTATCAGTTCGTGTGCCGACACACCTCCATGCCATGCAACAAGACTGTCAAGCATCTTCTCTCGTTGTCTTCCTCTATCCTTTTTTCCATAGATCTTTCCAGTGGTCACAACATGTTTATTTTTCCTCTTCTCATAACATGGCCGAAAAATGATGATTGTTTCCTTCGTAGCCATTATAGATGCCCCAATTATAACTTCTTTGGAAGTTCAGTGGGGTTTCTGGGATTTGATTGTTGGCTTGCCATGCAGATTTAGACTCTATAATCTAAAAGTGGCAAAACCTACAGTTAGCAGTACTGACTAGAAAAAAAAAACATGCAAGGAAGAAAGGAAGCCAAACTTGTTCACAATCTGTGATCTCCTGCAGCATGTATCAGTTCGTTTGCTGACACATCACCACGCCATGCAACAAGACTGTCGAGAATCTTCTCTCGTTGTCTTTCTCTATCCCTCCTTCCACAGATCTTTCCGGTGGTCACATCATGTTCTATTTTCCCTCTCCTCATAACATGGCCGAAAAATGACGACTGTCTCCTTCTGATGTCTGTGATAAGTTGTCTTCAGGCTCCCGCCTCTTTCAAAACCTCTTGGTTGCTTTTTGGCTGTTCAAGGTATTTTAAGCATTATTCTGTAAAAACCACATCTCTGAGGCCTCAAGAAATTGTTTGGCCTGCCTACCGATTGTCCAGGACTCACAGCCACATGTTAAAACTGGATGTATGTAGCAAGCAAGATTTCTTTTTCTAAACTTCATTGACAGAGATATATTGCATAAGATGTTCTTCATTTTATAAAATACAGGCTCATTGTGACTTTTAAATTGGTATTTTCCTGTGTTTTTTTTTAAACATGTACACAGGTCGTCTTCTATTTTTACCCTTGATCTCTTGTTCAGTCTCCATGTTCCTGTGTGTCATAAAGTATTTAATACTGTAGTTCTGAATTACCAGTTCTGAATGTTATTTCTTTCTTGCCTTCATCCTATAATTTTCTTTTTCTTCGCATTCACTGACTATAATCTCCGGCTGAAAATTATGGTTGTTTGTCCACTTTTGGACTTGAGTTTTGCATGCACATCTGTTTAACAGATCTGGTTTATGTGTATGCAGACCATTGGTTCATCGCCTCGCCATAACTGGACATAGGCTGCACTCTCTCGTGAGACAAAGGGCGGGTTAGGGCCGTTAAAAGCGCCAACGTCCTGTAATACAGAACACACCATATCGCTGGCCAGTGACAATAGCTAGTAAAATGCTGCAGGCTGTCGGCCGGTTACTAAGCTTGACATGCCTGGCAGTGCTGATAATTACTCTAAATTCTCACATTCTTAGCAGTGATGTGGACAGTCCGCTCTCAAAATCTTATGATCATCTGATCTCTCTAAAGACATTAAGAATGTCGGCGCGACCCATATGCCACCCATCTGCAGCTAAAGCAGAACTGGCCAGTCTGTCAGCTCTATCATTGCCACCAATATCTGCATAGCCTTGGACAAAGAAAGAGGTAGCTCCACGCACAGTAGAGTTATGCAATGACTCAATCCACTGTCTGTACAACCTGTCTCGACCCACTGGATCATGCTCACAGAACCACTCAGCACATACGCATGGGAATACTCCTGGGACTCCAACCACATGAAAACTTGTGACACCACCATCACTCCCATCGTCATGCTGTTAGTAGTCATTGTTTGGGCTTACTATTTCTTGGACAGTCGACCTACCACTTTAACAACAACAGGTAGCTGTTAGATTGATCTTTCACTGTTGAATGGGAGGTGGATCTTTCACTGTTGAATGGGAGGTGGATCTTTCACTGTTGAATGGGAGGTGGATCTTTCACTGTTGAATGGGAGGTGGATCTTTCACTGTTGAATGGGAGGTGGATCTTTCACTGTTGAATGGGAGGTGGATCCTTCACTGCTGAATGGGAGTTTTCACTGCTGAATGGGAGGTTGATCATTCACTGCGGAATGGGAGGTTGATCCTTCACTGCTGAATGGGAGGTGGATCTTTTACTGCTGAATGGGAGGTTAACATTTCACTGCTGAATGGGAGGTTGATCCTTCACTGCTGAATGGGAGGTTGATCTTTCACTACTGAATAAGAGGGTGATCATTCACTGCTGAATGGGAGGTTGATCCTTCACTGCTGAATGGGAGGTTGATCCTTCACTGCTGAATGGGAGGTTGATCTTTCATTGCTGAATGGGAGGTTGATCATTCACTGCTGAATGGGAGGTTGATCCTTCACTGCTGAATGGGAGGTTGATCCTTCACTGCTGAATGGGAGGTTGATCTTTCATTGCTGAATGGGAGGTTGATCCTTCACTGCTGAATGGGAGGTGGATCTTTCACTGCTGAATGGGAGGTTGATCCTTCACTGCTGAATGGGAGGTGGATCTTTCACTGCTGAATGGGAGGTTGATCCTTCACTGCTGAATGGGAGGTGGATCTTTCATTGCTGAATGGGAGGTTGATCATTCACTGCTGAATGGGAGGTTGATCATTCACTGCTGAATGGGAGATGGATCTTTCATTGCTGAATGGGTCTGTCATACAGGATGATGTAATTGTAGTAGGGTGGGTCAACAACTATGGAATCAGGAGCTCCAAAGTTGTGCCGCATGACTCTTGCAGCCTCTTCAACTTCCATCACATATGACTGAGGTTGTAGCTCTGACACCATTATGTTGTTCATATCTGTGAATGCAGTTATATTTTTTTATGTAGTATTTTATACAGATATATATATATATATATTTATAAGGAAGGAGAGAGAGAGAGAGAGAGAGAGAGAGAGAGAGAGAGAGAGAGAGAGAGAGAGAGAGAGAGAGAGAGAGAGAGAGAGAGAGAGAGAGAGAGAGAGAGAGAGTCACTTTAGACATGAAACAAAAGTTAAATGATTTAAAAATAAATGCCTGCAGAAAATGATGAACATAAAATGAGATGAATTCAAGAACGCTGAAAAAATAAGACAAAATTCTGAGAATATTTCAGCATATGGCTAATATTGGCTAGAAAATGCACAACAGAATAAAGAAAAGTATAGGGCAAGCAAAAACCACAATTTATGTAAAATGAACTTCTTACCAAAAAAAGTCCTTTTTATCGGAATTAATTTTTAAATAATTGTATGAGGTTCATTTTACCAAGCTTTAATGTATGGGTGAATCCTTGGCAATAAATAAGTAAGCACCAAATAAAAAAAAACCTCAGAAATAATTTTTAAAGATGATTGAGCAAACATAGATTTACTCAAAACGCACAGACACGCTTTAGCTAATAAAGAAGTAACATAAGGAAAAAAATAATATATGAAGCTTTTTCTGGATAAAATTCTTATCCACATTAAACTATGTTAAAAAAACAATATTAGGTAAAAAAAAAAAAAAACACACTGATTTGACAGAAATAAAAAAATAAAAAAATTTGCCCTAGACAAAAGGAAAGGGGAATGGACTGAAGTGTGGTTTGTGTTAAAGGCTGGGCTGGTTGTGGCTGTATCGAAACAGGACCAGTGGTTGGCAATGATGGTGAGGAAGTTGCCTCAATGTGTTGTTGCTGCTGCTGCCGCTGGTGTGATGAAGATCTGAACTCCTTGGTCTCCACTTTACATCTGTGTTTGCTCACACTAAACTTGTACACTTTCCCACACTGTGTACACAGGTTAATGGGTTTTGAATGTGTTTGTTTGTGAACTTTTAAAGAAACAGTGTCACTGAATGCCTTGCCGCAACCTTCCTCTGGACATGATAATGGCAGCTCTCCTGTGTGAAAGATAAAATTAGTCTGTCTTTAAAAAAAAATAGTTTTTATGTATTGAAAACATGTAAATCAAGATTTAATCAAAATGTGCTTCCACTAAATACATATGGTGTATAATTGTTTATGTAATAAAATTAATAGTCTGTATGGCCGGAAATGTGTTAAAAGTAAGATAAATGGTGACCTTAACTCTGGAAGAAAGTGTTTCTTATCTTAGAGCTAAAGAGACCGACTTCATAATACTAAGTTTTCTGCCACCTAGCTCTGCCTCTCTCTGCATAGCCTTCCAACAATATCCTACAAGGCACATAGCCTACAGCTCCAGCAACAAGCTCACAGGAATCTCAGGAACAAAACTGCACTTGTCAATAAAACAAAACTGTTCAAAAAGGAACCCATGATCTTTAGAGTGTACGGCAAAATAGACTGACCACTTTAACATAGAGGCTTTATTTGAATATGTGTTAGGCTTTATATTCTTTGAAAATCCATGCCGTTTGGCGTTGGAGTCATGTCTATCCACAACCTTCTGTCTCGTATACTTTCAGTCAACTCTGACACAGATGATCTTCCATGCCATGATATCAAATTGTCAAGCATCTTCTCTCTCAGTCACCCTCTGCCTCTCTTCCCCTCCAACTTTCTTACTGTCAGGACGTACTCCAGTTTTCTCCTTCTCACGATATGATCAAAGAATGTAGATTGTCTCTTTCTGATGTGGTCAATCAGTTCTCTCCGTGAATTAGTTTCTTTCAAGATATTTTTACATATTTTTTTTTTTAAATATGTCCCAGTTATTCTTATCATTCCTCTATAAAACCACATCTCTGCAGCTTCCAAATAATTGTTCACTAGTCTACCAACTGTCCATGATTCACTTCATTTTCAACAGTTAGAATATTGCATACTTTTTATTATGATAAAAAACATTACCTGTGGGTGTTTTTTTTTTTTAATGGAATTATTCTCACAACAATGAAAATATTAAATGAGTGTGTGACTCTTTGGGTTAAGGGTTAGTGAATGTATTTAACAATTTTGTGATCCTTGAGTGCAATTTCTGTAGCAGACGATTTATTTATTTATTTTTTAAATGCTCTTATGTATCTGACAGTGGATACAAGTCTCTGTGAAAGTGACTGGATCCTCACCATGTGATATTTCCAAAGGCATCATTAGTTAAACTGGAGCCAACCTTCATTGAGGGGATAACATATTATTTTTGTTGTGTGTAAAGTATTGTGCACTTCAGATTTTCAGTTTAGAAAAATGTAAAATTTACATAAATAAAACTAAGAACAGGTAAATCACATACAAACTTTCGGCACAGTTAATAATTTTGCAATGAATCAAAAGAAAAAGAAAAACAATTTCTGAACAGTCTACCAACTTACTAGAATGGATTTTAGTGTGATGCTTGTAAGAAACCTGGCTACTAAATCTCTGACCACATTCTTCACACATGTATTGCTTTTCTCCTTTGTGAATTCTTTTATGTTCTTTGAAACTGTCACTGTCTTCAAACTGGCATGAGCAGACTTTACATTCATAAACCTTTTCACCTGAAAGAAAATACAACTATAAGTTTACACTACACATTTCACACAGCATAAAACAGTTTAAAAAAAAATTCACTCATTAATTAACAAACTTAACTCTTTTGATTCCAGGCAACTCATGGCATATTTTAGGACTTTCCCATAAATCTCAAGCATCGCATAAAGTGTTCTCTAGTGTGTTCATTAGGTCAGAATATGCTAAAGAAATCTGGCATCATTAGTGGCCCATCTCACAACGTATTTAATCTCATTGCAAGTAATAATTTTTCTTGGTGGTGTTTTTTTCCCTTTCTCAATGGGAATCTGGAACAGACATGGGGAATGAACTGGTTTATGTTAAATAATAAATTCTAGTGTCTCCTGGGTTGAAAATATTAGCCATTTGGGATATAAGAGTAACAGGGACCGTCGTGAAACAATAGGTAATGTAACAACTAGATGTGGCAGAAAAAGTATTACTGAATGAGTAATCAATAAATAAATGCTTGGTTGCATGGTGAGCTGACTGATCAAAATTGACCAACATTTTCTATAATGTGAAAAAAAAGTATTAACACCTTAACCAACTAGCTCCATTGCTGAAACCCAAGGTACGCCTTCCAGCAAAACAGCAAATGGTTAATAGCATCTTCATTCCTATTTAATGCTATCAGTGCCACCATCAACAACGAATAGGACACTAGAACAGAAAATAATTACATGTGAAATGTGCTGTCTATGTAAGGTCACTAACAACACAAGAAGGTACAGCGTTACGAACACCAGAATTAGAGAGAAAGTTGGAATAAGATCATGTCTGGATTATATTGATAGACAAAGAATGATTCAGCCATTTAGTGAGAATGCAGCCAGAACAAACTGTATACAAGATTTTTTTTACAGCAGAACATCTGTGAGGAAGTCGAGGGGTAGAGGTTTCTCATGACACTGAAGGTGCATCCTGGCGCTACTGAGAGTCTGCAATGCCTTGCTGCACCCATCAATAGGGCACCTAAAGAAGCCTTTTGATATATCAATACTGTATATTAATCATGAGTAGAAAAATATATAATGAACAACTAGCGGTTGTCAAATGCATGACAAACAGCACAAACAGCCAAACATTCTGTAAATGCACAGGCGAGACAGACAGTCAACCATTTTGTAAGATGGACAGGTAGGACAGTCATTCAGCAAGAATGTCAAACTGCTGCAGTGACAAACACAAAGCTTTCTACAGACTTTGAGACAAAGGAGTCAAGAGACAATGAACTGCCTGTTGGAAATGGGTATCAAACGAGGATAAGCTCGTAGAAACTGATACCGGGGTAAAGAAAGAAGATATGACAATCAATTCCTGCTGGGTACGCTGAGCACAGAGACAGAGATGGCTACTGCACTGGAGGGTGGAGTAAGAATAGGTCGGACCAATGTGTTAGCATGTTGTTATGGACAACATGTAAAACGATAAAGAAAGCTAGTTTACTCAACATCTGTTTCCCATAAGTGCCTTTCATCCTCATCCTATGTGTGTCGCCAGACGTCACATAGGACTCACATTCAATTTTTTCACTCTGCTTTACTGCATGCGACTTCAGCCCAGCATTTTTAGCCTCTCTTAATAATGTTCTTCTTAACGTTTCACTTGGGTGTCCTTTTTTTTTCTTCCTCAGACTGTTTCTTTCCCATTTCAGGGCTTGTTTTGTAATTCTTTGCTCATTTTGTCTCAAAGTGTGCCTAGTATATCTCCACCATAATTGCCTTTACTGCCTGTATTTACCATTTTTTAGGGTAGTGTGGGATGGAGTCTTGAACCTGAGGATTTACAACTGGAGCAAGTCAGAATAAACTTTGCAAGTTTAGATGTTTTTTTGGGGAATTAAAAAAACGGACTCAATGCACCCCAACAAGCATGTCGTAAGAGCCGACTAATCAGGGATGTTTCCTTCGAAGATGGAGTGCATTTGCCTGAGAGCCCAGGAGCCAACAGTCTGCAGATAGAAATAAGCCAGATCCGTAAAATAGATGTGCACGCAACAATCAGGTTCTGAAGCAAGAATAAAGTACAGAAGTGGTTAAACACCAGAACTTACATCAAAGTTTACAGCCGGTGAACGCAAAGAAGATGTTTGTTTTTGCCCCAGACAGTAAAATATCCATCATCTTACAGAGGATTTGAACATGAGTCTCCTGTGTTAAAGCCCAGCACTGTAACTGCTCAGCCAGCCAACCCTCTTCCTATAACTAACAACATCACAGCATACATTCAATGATTTTTAACTTACCATAATGTATTTTGGAATGTTTCAAGACTTTGATGTGAGACATGAAGCCCTCATTGCAATGGTCAAAGCTACAGGTGAAAGGTTTGTTGTTTTCATGTTCCATGACATGCCTGGAGAATAGTGTCTCCAGAAGGAATGTTCTCTCACACTCCTCAAACTCACATCTGTAAGGTGGGTTGCCTGGAATTATACAGGAGAGAAAAAAATTCTGTATACTGTTATAGCACAATACGTAAAATCTCCAACCCTCTTGTGCCACCTCATCTGCCATTCATCCGCTATCTTTTTCTGTCATTCTTTTCGACATATTCTGCACTTTTCCACCACCATAGGCTTCTTTCTTCGTTTCCTCTGCCGCCTTCTTCAATATCCGGTCCTCTTATTCAAATGCTCTGTCGTCTTCTTTCACCATTTGTAACCCTCTACCTTCTTCTACCTCTTGTCCTCTTCTTCTTTTTCTCACTCTTCTCAAACTCAGATCCGTAAGGTGGGTTGCCTGGAATTATACAGGAGAGAAAAAAATTCTATATAGTGTTATAGCACAATATGTAAAATCTCCAACCCCCTTTGCCACCTCTTCTGCCATTCATCCGCTATCTTTCTCTGTCATTCTTTTCGACATCTTCTGCACTTTTCCACCACCATTGGCTTCCTTCTTCATTTCCTCTGCCGCCTTCTTCAATCTCTAGTCCTCTTATTCAAATGCTCTGTCTTCTTCTTTCACCTCTTGTAACCCTCTACCTTCTTCTACCTCTTGTCCTTTTCTTCTTCTTCTGGCTCTTCTTTATTTTTCCCCCTCGATCTGAATCAGTTTAATGAAAGAATTGCTGGCTATATTTCCTCTAGGTAATTGAACTACAACATGAACATTAGAATACTATGTTATGATCATAACAACAATTAGATAAAGTAAAGGACCCTTTTCCATTCCTTTAGGAGTATTGGGCATATAGGGCTAGGTGTATATTTTAAAGACCAATCGACATTTGGTGGGTGATGTGGTCAGCATCCCGCCGGCCATCTTTATCTCCAAGGACTGCACCTGGTACCCACTCAAGGCTGGGTCGACCTGGGAGTCAAGGTTATTTTTGAAAAAAAAAAAAAAAAAGTCTGGCTCTGCCAAGACCCAAACCCACAACCTCCCTAGCCACTACACCATGGTGACTCCCAACAATTAGTATGAAATGGTAAAAACATGCTGTTGAAAGTAACTGATAATTCAGACACAGAAACAGAGAAAATTCAAGAAATCTCCTGGTCTGTTTCTGAATTAGAATGAAGAAAAAAATAACAGACCATGCCTGTTTTAACAAGGGATAAATATCAAAATTATTGTTTCATACCCAGATGCCAGGTAACATGATCTTTCCTGTCTTCAAGAGTTCGGAAGTGCACTCCGCACCTTTCAGAGTTACACACAAAGACTCCTTTCTGTGGGGGAACAGAGAATGTTATAAATATTATCATCATACAAGCACATCAGGCACACAACAGTAACCACCGAGGAGAGTGCCATGTGTGTCTGCTGGGCAGGTAGTCTTAGATTCAGATCCTCATCAAAGTAGATTTTAAAATATAGCTTCTCAGATCAGCCTAGACTAAAAACAGGTGCCAGAAAATATTCAGGTAAGCAAAGGCGGCCAGCATGAGACTGACCACATTACCATTGAGTGCCAAGTGGTTTATAAATGCATGTGGCATACAGCACTATTTGCCTCACATTCCTTAGAGCAGTGTTTCCCCAACTTTTCCTAGTCACGGCACCTTTTTTTCAATTAAAACTTTTTCTACGGTACCCTAACCTAAGTAAAAGTATGACTATTCGTATGTAAAAGATAAAAATTTTTTTTTTTAACTTGTGTATCTTTGAATATTTTTTGGTTGAGGCTTCTCGGGACCCATGGTGCACAGTTTGGGAATCACTGCCTTAAGGTATAGAAAGGACGCTTGTGTTTTTTTCATATGCAGAGGTTTCAGAGATGCCTAGTGAGTTTGTAATTGTTAAGGACAGCTGCAGTACCAGATCTAATGTGAGTGCTTTACTGAGCACAAGACACCAGTATGTATGAATTATGTGCTTAATACACCCAACTCTTCTATTCTGCTTTCTTCTTCGATCTCTACCTCCATGTACCTCAGTGAAATTGTCTGCTTTTTATTCTTCCTCTTCTGCCTTTTATCTCCAATGGAGCACAAGCCCTAAACCAATTTTCTAATGTATTGTATCAGTTGGTCTGAATATTTCTAAAGTTGTTCTTGATGCTATCACTCCATTTTTTTAGTGGTCTTCCTCTTGCTCTGTGTTTACTATATTTCTTTAATGTGGTCTTTTATGGCAGATGGTAAAAGAACATTCTAGTCAGATGGCCACACCACCTCATCTAATACTCTTTAATGAATTGTATGACTGGTGTTTCGGTTGTAAAATTTTACCCTAGAATATTTTGAAGAAAAAAAAAGAAGAAAAAGAAAGAAAGCTAGTTGCGTGTCCTTTACAAAACTTTGCAGAGCCAACCCAGGCATTTGTTAGCCATTGTGGTTTTCCTTGGCAAATTTAAGTTCAGTAGTTTTCCATTGTTTACTGAACGGTGGGCTCTCAACACTGTCAAAACCAACTCAAGGCAGTCTGCTGCCAAATTGTCTGCAGTTGGGATCAAACTCGGCACCCCCGCATTATAAAGCACGTTTGCAATGCCTAAGCCAAAGATGCCGATAGCCTAAGATATGCAGGGGTAAAATGGAGAAAAAAATATATATATATATAAAAAAAAGTGAACAACACCCACCATTTGTTCATTCTGCATGCAGCTCTCGTCATGAGAGTTCTGTAAATGCTGCTGCAGCTCTTCCTTATAAGGAAAAGCTTGACCACAAATTTCACACATCTTTTCTCTTGGCAAGGGCCTGTGAGCTCTGTCTAGGTGGTCTTGTAGACTGCTAGAGCTGGTGTACTCTCTCTGACACTTATCGTATGGGCACCTCAGTATTCTGGAAGCTACCTCCTCTTGAAAGAGAGCACTTCCTTTCTTGTGGACCTTGACATTATGATATCGCAGACCTCCATCGGTGCTGTACTTCAAACCACAACCTACTTCTGGGCATACAAATTCTCTTTTATGCTGATGCTTGTCACTGTGGATGCCATGGTTAGAGATCATGTGCTGGTCCATGGTCCTGCGGTCTGCGTATTCTTCTCCACAATTCTCCACAGGACACAGGAAGCTCTGAGTACCTGAAAGTGACAAAAACATGGAAACAATAACAAAGATGATATTTACAGTAATGATCACCACATTTTAGACTAGAAATATTACAATGAGTAACAACCACAATTACTGTATTTACACATGTATAGGCCACAGTATTTTAACAGAAAATCACTAATGAAAAATAAGGTGCAGCTTATATTAGAGATATAAATGTCTCTTGTACCACATGTATTAATAAACAATACAACATTTCTTCAATCACCCACCATTTCTCCTGCGCTCTTACCGACTTTGGTTGGTTGTCTTCCAGAACTTCAGTTTTGTGTTTACATTTGTTTTCCAGACTGTTGGTGCTCGCCACTCTCACAGACGCACTTCGACTTCAACGGAAACCCCCCTAATTAGTCGCCTTGTACAACATGCTTGTTAGGGAGGCAGTGGGTCCATCCTCCCCTTTCCCCTCCCCCCTAAAATGAGCCTAGGAACCAGCATTTAAATTATTCCTCTCTGTGCATATTTTATAAAGATGCATCCATATTGTAATCTGAACCAGGTCAGAGAGAAACATCCTAGCCCCGAAGTGACATTGCCTTAGCCACCTTAGTCCCTTAATCTGTGGTTGTTGTTATCGATCCAGCGATGCATGAGCTTTGGTCCTCTGGCCCAATGCCATTTAGTGGAATTTGCATGTTTTCACAAGCTGTTCTTTTCCTCCGTACAAGGGGTTCCACTTGTCTGGTCTCGGAGGGAGTAGCATTCTTCTAGTCTCGCTGAGTTTTGGACACTCAAAGAGATGGTGTTCAACAGTTTCGTAGGGGTATTGGGCATATAGGGCTAGTCTTATATTTTATAGCACTCTGTGGGTGATGTGGTCAACATCACACGAACAGCCTTTATTTCCCAGGTCTTTACCTGGTACTCATTTGAGGCTGGGTTGACCTGGAAGCCAAAGCCATTAAGGAACAAATCCATCAGGACCTGAACCCATGACCTTCAGATTCGCAGGCCAGCCATCAGGCCGCAACACCACTGCAGCTCCCCAGAGCTATTTTGTACTACTAGTAATACTTTTGTTAAGTGATTGATGTGTGAGGCAACGTAGTGGATAATGAACAGGCAGACATATTGGCTGGATCTGCACCACTGGGTGGTCAATTGATACATGACAAGGCAGATGTAGTCAAGACCCTTTGGTAACAAGCAACTGAATCAGCAGAGAAACAAGATTATCATGGCCTGGAGAGAATGAGGCCCCTGGTTGTAACCAGAGAGTCTGGCCAGCTCACTACACTCAGAGGAAAAGCAAGACGGACATATAACCAGATTGTGACGGTACCATCAGTTTTGGAACTCTGCGCTGGCTGCTGAAGATGAATGCCCTGAGTGCTGTGATATCAATTATTGGCTCAGTTCAACTCAACTTGTAAGGCAACTGAGTATGTGATTATGTTCCTGACATATTGAATCAGCCATGTTGCCGGAAAGCTCTAATGTATTTGTAACATGTGGTCTGTTGAAAGAAGTTAATGTTGATTTGTAACATTTCATTGTCATGTTTGCTTATGTTATTAAGTTATCCAACGTGAAGAGTTACTAAATCATCCACAACCCACACAGTTTCTCACATGACACCTGCATTACATTATAACAACCTTTCATCCAATGAATGCACTAAATTAAACTAAATATTGCAACAAGCACTGAAAATAATTACAAACCTGAATGTTTTTTAAGATGCATTCGATACAACATTTTGTGCTTAAACGTCTTGCCGCAAAATTCACAACAAAATGGCCTCTCCGAGGTGTGGCTAAGCATGTGTGCTTGCAAGGCATTGGAGGAGATGTACGCAGCACAGCACCCCTCTTCTGTACATGTAAAAGGCTTCTCTCCTTTAAAAGACAAAATAATTGTTTAGATGGTCACAATGCTCTCCTTGAATGTTGAATTAAGAATTGACATCCCAGCAGTAGCGACACCCCAATAAGCGTTCCGTCCCTATCTTCATCAACAAGTGAAGAGTACAAATGCTGATAGTACCAGTAACTGTCTGATTGTATATTAATCTGGCCTTTCCCCTGAGTGTCGAGCAAGCTCTCCTTTATAAAGCCAAATAATTGCTAATCCTCAAGCGGGTAATTTAGCTGTACACAAAAGTTTCTGCTGTGGGTATATTTTTTTTAAATGTCCAACTGTGATGGAGTCACAAGGTATTTCCCATAAATTGAAAAAACAATTTAAGTAACAGATACAATTTCTTTACATTGCTTACTTTTCTAGAAATTCATTACTTTACCAAACAAATAAGTATCATCTGGTAGGTAGGTGGTAGGTGAGAGAGTTGACTTTATTGTACCCGGTTTGATCCCATATGGCTCAGTCGCACTCCACAGAACAGCTAGCTGCCTGCCAAGAGCATCACAAAGAGCACGAACTCAATAGCTCCGGAGACGATCTCCAGGGACCTCCGTAAAAACTGCACTCGTGAAGTGAATGGCGCCACCGTGGAAGGAACCTTTGACCTTCAGAGCTCGAAGTGAAAAGTGCTATCTAAATTCTGGCTTGTGCAAACTTTCCTGAAGAATAAACAGTTTATGTTTTGTCTATAGTCCAACTGTGAAATTTAGAGAGGCTGCTTTTGTTGTTGTTGTTTTTGTTGAAAGGATCCAGAATAATTATAAGACCAGCAAGTTACACATAAAGTCTCCGTGTTTTGGTGTCAAGTGCAAGGGGTTGAGGGGTGGGGTGTGAAGGGTCACATGTTATGTTAAACTGTTTTCACCATGCAAACATAGGACTAAAATACCCTCTAACTACCAAAGAGTTCTTTTCCAATCGGAGAAACTCTTAACAAACACAACAGTGCAAGCAGCAAGAACGTAGCCTGTTATACCCACTAGCTATTACCCATATAAAATCAAGAAAAGATATATGTCAAGTTCATGTAAGGTGTTAATGGTATCCATTCTCCTCTTTATAAAGCAATATAACTGTTAACAGTAACATTTCTTCCCTTTATGGAGCCAAAAAAAAATATTAACATAAATAATATTTATAGAACCTTCTATTTGGATGAGGTTTGACAAGAGAACTGATCTCCTCTGTGATTCTGGCGATCATGTGTGATGGCAAAACAAGACCGCCTATGCCTGTCTGACAGGGCTCGTCGACGTGATGCTGACCATATCACCCATCAAGTGCCAAATGGTCCAAAAAATATACGTCTACAACTATATGCCTGATGAGCCAAAGGTGCAAAAAGGGTCCTTTACTTTATATAATAATGATCTCGCTTAAACTCTTTTTCCTACCTATACTGATATATACTGAAAATATGCTATTCTTATCAGTGAATTTATTTAGTTTGTTTTAGTGAATACAGTGGAGCCTGGATAAGTAGAAGTCGCAGGGACCTAAGAAAATGCTTCCACTTAACAGGATTTCAACTTATCCAGACAGCACACACAATAGAGAAAATTGCCAGGACTAAGCTGATCATGTCGACATAACCGAAATTCGACTTATCTGAGTTCGACTTAAGTGGACTCCACTGTAATAATGAAAACTCTAACCCTCACACTGTCACATCTGTTAGCAGTACTGTAGTAAACTCACCAGTGTGGGTTCTTTTGTGCATAGTGAACTGACAAGGTATTCTGAATGCCATGCCACAACCTGGTTCTGGACATTTGTATGGCTTCTCTCCTGTGTGCAAGCGGTTGTGGCACTTGAGATCGTATCTGCTCTTGAATGCCTTCCCACACTCTGGATATGTGCAAGGAAATGGAAACTCTTCCCCATCGTGAAACTGGAGATGGCGCTAGAAGAAAAAAAAAATCAGGATTAATCTGGAGTTATTTTATGTAAAATGGTATCAACCCTGCCACCCCAAGAAAGCCAGTTTTCCAACTTTTACAGGTTTTTGATTACATTACATTTTTGGGCAGTGGCCAATATTCCTACATAACACTTTAATACTGGTTGAAACTGCATAGTGATAACCATATTTTATTAATAATCTGTCTATGCTGGCACTTGGGCCTGTAGCAATCCCCATTTTCCACCTTTAGGTCCCTTAGTAAACTCAACTGAATAGCACCGATGTAAGATTATATGAGAGCCTTTGCTCTAAAGAAAGGCAAGGGGGATGAATGAGAGTAAGAGAAAGAAAAGAGAGACAGATAGACAGAGATATGCTGTACTTCCTAGTCACTCAAACCCTCGGCAATTATTTTGCTATGTGATTAAAAACCTGACATTTCTCATGGTTAAATGAAAATACTGAATGTCCTATCAACATTAGCCTTAGTAAAATTGTAGATGGCTATAGAAAAATATAACACAGCAAAACTTTAAAAAAAAAAATTTGATTCTGTAACACACCACAGCACAAAATTCCTACAATAAAAAAATAAAACAATAATACAATTTTAAAAAGTCGCAGTTAACCTCCATTATCTGGATCAAAACATCTGGGCAGGCAAGAGTAAATAAATGGTAATGAAAGAGTTAACCAGTAGGCAAGTAATGCACCAAAGCAAATGGAAAGAAGAACAGAGAGAGCTGATATCATTAACGCTGTACAGACGAGGTTGGGAGATAATGGCAATTTTCTGAAGCTAACACGACTGCGTGACCAAGGAGTTGAGCTTGGTGAAGTATGATTAATCCATCTTCGAGGTTAAAGACAGGGGACATTATAACCAATCCTCATGGGAACAATCAGTAGAGGTACCTTGGAGTGGCTGCTGCATCAGAGGACTGAGCATGTATGGGAATGCCCAATGTGCAAAGCGTCGAGTGTGATAACATAACATAAAATAAAAATAATAAAAGAAAATAATACAATTTAATATAAAAATATACATAAATATAATGTAATTGAAAAAAAAAATAAAACAACATAAAACAACAGCGAAATAGAATAAAGGTAAAAGACAAAAACCGTTCAATCCATTACCTTTAAGCTGCTAAGTAATTTAAAGTTCTTGTCACACTTTAAACACTGATGTGGTTTCTCAGCTGTAAAATATTAGGTGACATTGAAAATTAATTATGTATACATTTTACAATTATCATAAGTAAACATCAAGTTAATGTGGAGCAGCTGTAATGTACCGGCCAGACACTCATCTGAGGTTCTGAATGTCATGGGTTCAGGTCCGGATGAAGCCGCGCTTTTTTTTCTTTAAAAAATTACCTTGGTCTAGTTGACCCAGACTTAAACGGGTACCAGGTAAGGTCCTGGAAGGTAAAGGTGATGTGTGTAATGCTGACCACATTGTCCACCAAGAGCCAATTGGTCTATAAAATATAGGTCTAGCCCTATATGCCCAGTTTGCTTGAAGACGTGGAAGAGGATCCTTTACTTGACTAAGTATTGAATTAGGTTAGTTGTATATTCTTTACATAATGCTACAAACCAGCCCCAGTATATGTTGGCCATTTGTGGTTTTACTAGGCTATTTTATGTTCAGTAGTTTGCCATTGCTTTCTGAACCATCAGCCTTCCATGCCATTGTCAATATTAACACAAAGCGGTCAGCTAATAAACTGCTTGCAGCTGAATGGAATTTGATATTTTGGAGGTATGAACCATGTTCATAACCACTAAGCCACTGATTCTGACAAGTAAATATTACAATATGGAAGATCAGGTCAAGGATGTGTTTTTCCACCGTGAGGTGTTTTATGCATATGGTGCTGGTCTCATATTGTTAAAAACCAGTTAGTACTAGAATGGTGATGTTGTCAACATCATGCTTATCGCCTCGACCTCCAAGAAGTGGGTCAACCGGGAAGATCAGATCACTTTAAAAAATGCATTTTGTTATGGAATCAAACATGTCTTCTTCTTATTTTTCTGGGTTAACTATTTGCTTTGTGGTTTATGGCTAGGCTGTGATATCTACCTTTAGTCCAACACATCTGAATTCGGCTATCCCTTAATTAGTTGCCCGTTTACAACAACCTTATTAAAGGGCAGTGAATTTATTATTCTCCACTAGCGCGCTGGAACCCACATGGGGAAATTAACCACAAAATCACCTAGCGATTCCTGTACCTCTGCTTGTAAATGTTGCGATGGAATAAAAATATAAAATTCTATACTGATGACAGCCCTCACTTGTCAAGTCTCCTTAATGCATTTTCCATTAAAAGGGTAAGGCAGTTTGCAGGTTAAGTTATGATTTACTGCTAGGTTGTGATATCTGCACCTTTTGGGCCCACATTTGATTAAATAAAAAGACTCAAAATTAGTCAACCTTTGTGACATGCTTGTTAGTGAGGCAGTAGGTCTATCCTCTCCCCCCTCCCCCTCCTTTCTTCCTGAAAATGGTATTCTGGGACCCAAATAGAAACATTTAAACAAAAACCACAGAGCCACCACCTGATCTCTGTGCCTCTGAGTGTTGATGTTGGAATGGATATTCTAAATGAGAATATAAAATCCTATAGACCTGTCAGGAATGCTATAACTAATCACTAATAACTAAGATATGCTATGTCATAACCCACTGGCGAATGTTATTAAAAGAAGAAGATCAAGATGGCTTGGACATGTTTGCAGAATGCCTCAAGACACTTTAGCTAGGACAACTCTCCAGTGCACAGCAAATGGAAGAAGATGTGGAGAACCTAAACAAACCTGGAGAAGGATGGTAAAAAGGGAAATGAAGGAGCATAAACTGACATGGGATACCATAGGCAGAAATACAGCTGGCCGCCATCAATGGAGGTCACGTTTGAAATGATTGACAGCGACAGAAAGAAGAAATAGTTAGACTTTTGTTGTTATAGATCCAGCGATGCATGAGCCTTCGCCCTTTGGCCAAATGCCATGTAGTGGAATTTGCATGTTTTCACAAGCTGTTCTTTTCCTCTGTATAAGGTGTTCCACTTGTCTGGTTTTGGAGGAAGTAGCATTCTTCTAGTCTCGCTGAGTTTTGGGCACTCAAAGAGATGATGGTCAACAGTTTCGTAGGGGTAGTTACAAAGCTCTGGGGAGTGTTGTGGCTGTATTCTGTTTAGGTGTCCATTGAGTGGAGTGTGTTGTGTTCTGAGTCTGAGGATGGTGGCCCGATCCCTCCTTGTTAGATGGTTGATGCGGTCATTAGGATCAGGGTAAGCCATATGACTTTAAACCTCTCGTCAGTGTCTTCTATGGCCCATCTGTTCAGCCAAGTCTATTTATATATAGCTCTTATAAGTGTTTTTGCTGTCTGTAGGGTTGTCACTGTAGGTTGTTGTTCTTGTGTTGCCCCTTTCTTTGAAAATCTGTCAGCTCTGTCATTACCTGGTGTGCCGGAGTGGCCTGGAATCCATTGCATCACTATTCTGATGTTGTATCAGGTAATGAGCAGATCAGCATCCAGAATTATCTTGGCTTTATCAGTTCTGCAACGTTCACTGCCATCCAGAGTTTGTAGAGCGGACACTGAATTGGTGAAGATTACAATATTTTGGGCCTCTGAAGGATAAACATCCATTACAGTCTTTAGATGGTATATTACTGTTTCCAGTGCAATTATTTTGGCGTCATAATTTAAGCAGATTTCCACACATGCATAAAAATACACTTCTACAGATCCATCAGGATAACCTTTGTAGATTCTATAACCTGCTTTAATAGTAGCTTTGAATGCAGATTCATCAGTATAAACATGTATCCATTCTTCAGGGTAGGAATCAATTGTCTTTAGTGATGAGTTCATAAGGGCAATAGGGTCGGACTGTTTGGTTTCCTAGTCTACCAATTTCATTCGGACTTCTGGAGCTTTAAAGAGTGCATGTGATGGTGGGTTTCTTGCAACATTCTGAATGCCTTGATGTCTTTCTGGGAGGTGGTATCTGTCCCATATTTTATGTGCAGAGTGTAAAACCAATTTGTGCTTTTTTGTTTGTTTGTATTCCCAGTTTTCTGAAAGGTGTTTATTAGGACAGTTCCGATTCATTCTAATGCATCATTCATACATTTTTTAAGTGGCTTTCTCTCTCTACAACCCAAGGGGTTCCACATTTGTATGGATTTCACATGCAGCAGTTGGAGTAGACTGCATAGCTCCACTCATTAATTGGAGGGCATTATTTTGTACTCTGTCAAGAGTCTCTAGGTTTGTTTTGGAGCAGGTTGTAAGCAGTGAGTTATTGTACTCTATCACAGAGCGAACATATCCAAGATACAAGCCCCTCAGAGTTTTCTTGTCTGATCCCCAAGCTGTACCTGCAAGTCTCTTCAATAATTGTTACCACCTCAATGCTTTATTCCTTATATTTTCACAATGGTTTTTGAGGCTGAGCTGCCAGTCAAGTGTGACTCCAAGGTATGTAGGATGCTGCGCTTTTTTCATCAACTGATGTCTGTCTAACCTCAGGTTGATATTCTTCCTTGCTACTTGATGGCTTTTGGTAAAGATTGTATAGACAGTCTTTGTATAGTTAAGCTTGAGTTTCCATCTTTTGCAGTACTCAGGCAGTTTTTTAACGGCTCCATTTAGTCTTTGGGCTCCACTTTCTACATTTTCATGACTCTGCCATATTGCTAGATCATCAGCGTAAATACTTTATCGGCTGGTTTTTCCTGGCAAGTCATTGATATTGATTAAAAACAGTGTCAATTAAAACGTTTGATAGACGTCATAAACAAAATTAAAAAAAATTAAAACAACCAGCTTACATGTGTGAGTCAGACGATGTGCCCTCAATTCTTGGTTGCCTCGGAACCCACTTCCACATTTATCACAAATAAATGGACGTTCATCAGTGTGTGATCTGACATGAAGCTCTAGCTTGCTTCTTCCAGTGAACCTTCTTTCACAGCCGTGGAATGGACATAGGAATGGTCTGCCAGCTGGTTTGCAAACAAAGAAATAGATATGGTCATTTGCAGTAATACAAATACAATCTTCTATTTAGTTCTTCTTCTTCTTCTTTTCTTTAGACTCAAACATTGGCTACTTTAAGAAAAGAACATCTCAGGAAATAAGCAGATAATATAATTAACCCTTTCACTGCTATAGACGAGATAACTCGGCTGCCCGGGAGACTGCTAAACACGAGATAACTCGGCTGCCATTTTCTGTGCCCTCACCGCTAAAGACGAGATAGCTCGTCCTCGACTTTTTTTTACAGATTGCTAAGAACAGTAATTCTTGGGGGTGAAATAGCAATACGCATTACCTTAATCTGATCAAACTGCCCCGTTTACATACAATTAAAACCCTTATCACGTGCGTTTAGGCGTATTTAGATGCATTTCACGTTATACTGTTGCTTTGTTACCATAGAAGCATTGTCGGTGAACGGTAATTTTTTTGCCCTGAAATATATTTCTGGCTTTCCGTTAGTCTACATTTTTAAAAAAATACAAAATAACAAAAACATTAGTTAATTAAAGAAGAATTAATGGAGTTTTTTTCAAGAAGTAATAGTAAGGATCACTTTGAAACGTGTGAGTTATTTGAGCTGGGTTATCTTCGCGGCACGCCAGCGGACACCTGTACTTCTGGCCGTGAGCAAGACTGACCAGTGATCATATGACCTAGCTATCTACATCGATTGGATTTGAAATGGATCCCAAATAATCAAATTAAAGATATGGTCACGTCCTGACGTGATGATTAATATTAATGTTAATTATATACTATACAACTGACATAAATGCGTTTGTCTATTAAAGTGTACAATACTGGTCTTTTTTTCAGTTCATAGTTTCATGTGAATTTCTAGTGTAGTTGGTATCACGTCTGCCTTACAATCGAAAGATCCAGCATTCAACCCCTGCATGCCTTTTTTTTTAAATTTATTTTTAAAAAATTATTTTAAATGTAAATTTTAAATTTAAGCTCTTAGCATTTTCGGCAACAGATCACCAAAGTAATAATTAATTAAACATCCTGTCATGAGCGTTCAAGTGGATTTAGATGCTCTACACGTTATCCTATTCCTTTGTGAAGCGTGGCTGGTGTACTGTGCATTTATTACCGTGCAATATTGTGTCATCAAAACGACATAAAATTGATCAGCTATCCTGGTCTTCCAACGACTTGCGACCCGATGTGCATACGTTTGATAACTCCAGCTCTGGTTGTCTTTTAGCTGCTGGAATAAAAACAGCTCAGTTTTTGTTTTAAACTTTTTTTTCACTGAATCGCTGGTGACTTTCCTCGCAGATGAATGTAACAGATTCAGCAAGTATGACACTGAATCGCTGGTGACTTTCCTCGCAGATCAATGTAACAGATTCAGCAAGTACGTCACTGAAAGGGGACCTGCTATCGTAAACTCTCGTCTTTGCAGATGGACAGATACGGATTTGGACGAATTATTTTGTTTTTTTGCTGTGTGTCTACTCATGCCCAGAACAAAGAAACTCAAAATAAATGAGTACTGGACCAAAGACTGTTTGCTGACAACACCCATGTTTATTTGCTTACTAAAGTGTTTTGTGTTTGCTTTTGTAAGTTTGTAGTGTTTTTTTGTTTTTTGTTAATTGAGTTTTCATGGCTTAGAAATAGCGCATCTGACTTGTCAGTGCAAAGTTCAACCACACGTCTTCAGAGTTTTTATTTTTGGTGTACAATATTTACCCCGTGCCGCAAGCGGGTCTTCTGCTTTTGAAGGGAAAAACAGTATTCAGTACAGTATGAAAGATTAGCTCTTGCCAGGCTTAGCACAGTGGTTACCTTGGCTGGCAGAGGGCGTAGCAGCGAAAGGGTTATAGGCTGGTACTATTTTCAGTATTCTCAGAATTCCATGGACAAAGAAGAGAAGAAATACTGACATTTTAAAAGATCTGAACATCAAGGAAGCTTGGCTAAGAAACTGCATCTTATCTCGGAAGCTAAAATATTTTATCAAGCGCCATGGCAGATTACAAAAAAAAAAAAAAAAATAGCAGAAGGCACGGTGCCAGAAAGGAGGGGCAGGGGCCAACCAACAGGGAGATGGGCACAGGATATAAGTGACTCCTTGAATATTAAAGAATACAAGGCGAGAGAGCTGGCAAGAGACCAAGTTTTTTTTTTCAGGTTGAGCCTGATGAGAGCGACATTGTGAAAAGAATCTGCTACATGATGACTGAAAAATATAATCAAACAAAAGATTGTTATGCTTTCAATTAACAAAACCAAACATCTTCATAATACCAGCATTCTGTTTCAAATAAAAACTCAGCAGTGATTAATTAAAAGTTAAAATTACGTTAGTATGAAAATCATATCATTAAATGGGATCAGAATACAAATTTAATTCAAATGATCAACTTACCTCGATGATAATGTCTGATGTGGTTCTCACAGAAAAATTTGGAACTGAACATCCAATCGCAGCCATCTTCTCCGCAGATGTAAACACTGTCATTCTTCACTTCTGCAAGTTTTATCGGCTGTTCAAACATAAAATATTAACAAAATATGATTATCACATAACACATAATCTAAATAACTAACACTGCAAGACAAATGAAAATATCTGATGTCAGATAAGACAAACACCACACATACCAATTATAATCCAGGGGGTTGAAAGAGATATTTCCTTGTATGGATTCCGGGGCCCCATTTTATGGGGGAAAATGAGTAGCCCCCCCCCCCCCCCCCCCCACCACCACAAGCATGTCATAAAATTCAACTAGTTAAGGGTATTTCCTTCAAAATCAGGGTTCATCTGCCTGAGAGGTGAGGAACCAAGAGTCTGCATACAAAAAAAAAACCAGATTTTTAAAAAGGATGTGCATGCAAAACCCAAGTTCTGGAACAAGACCGAGGCCCAGAAGTGGAAGAATAACTACAGCTTTCTGCCAAAGTTTACAGCCGGTGAAAGCTAAGAAGAAGACCAAGATAATGTTGATTAAATTACTACTAGAACTAGCTACTACTACTAATACTGCTGCTGCTGCTTTCACAATAATAATTACAACTGCTACAAATACAATTACCCATACTACTACTTCTACTGCCACTGATACTACTACTATAAACTTGAATGCTGAATTAAGAATCAACATCACATCACTTGCGACACTCCCATAAGTGCTCAATCTCCATCTTCAGCAGCAAGCGAAGAGTTCCAATTCTGATGGTACCAGTAACAGTCTGATTGTATATCTGTCTCATCCTTCCCCTGAGTATTGAGCGTCGGAAAGATCCCCTGGTAACTCTTCGCAGCACCATTTTCCTCAGACTGTAATAATCTATCTGCACCTCTGCACTGTTCACCCATTCGCAAAGGGCCCTCACAATATCTAACTTGTCATACATCAATTCACCACCAAGTGGTGCAGAGCACACCAGTCTATCTTACTGCTCATTTCCCAACACACTGGCATGACCTGGAGAAAAAATCCAAAGGATGCTAACTACCCAGGACCTCTGAAGTGATGCCTGCCACTCTGCAGGAAGCATGCCTGTTTTCACCTTTCTCAACATGCTCTGGGAGTCAGTTACAATGACAGTATATGTGTACAGCTGATTCTCAAGCTAGCAAAAGGCAGCAGAGACTGCCTCCATCCCCTTTCTCAAACTAGACATTGTGATATCTATGCAAGTCTTTGTTGCACAAAGCGACGTCCATTTGCCTTCGATATGAAACCCCATGCACTTCGTCTGCCTCTCAAAACAGAGCCATCTATATAGATAATAACATCACTTGGGCGGGAATTGTCATGAATCATTTGTTGAACTTCTGATTCCACAGCACCAGCTGGCCAGTCTCTACACTCACGACTTAACGTGATTAGAACACTACACAAGTCTGAAACTTGTTCGGACACCTTGACCCACTCCTCTCCTCACACAAATTTATCAAGTATGCACACCTGTTACTATAAACTATTATGTGACAACCTCGGAGACAGACTTACCTGTGAAGATTTTATCAGAAGTAGTGGATTAGCGAGAATCTCTGCCAGTTCTTCTTGACTTGGCTTACTTTTAGAAAGTGTGTCTGAATTAATGGTATCTTGATTGTCAGGATCATGTAGCAATGCCAGCACCTTATTCCGTGTGCTATTTTCCACATCAGAAGCTGCTATACTGGATGTTTCATGTGATGCAGTATTGTTAACCGAAAATTGAGAAGCAAATGAAGTTTCCATGTTTAAGGAAATTGCACTACATTCAGCAGCTTCTTTTGAACTGTACAAATTGTCACTGTGAGTTCTTGCAGTTTGTTGATCTTTAATCACTGAATTAATCCCTTCAGGCAGTAAACTGTTTTCTGTTAGAAACCTTGTTTCTACATCATTCATAACTGGCATGTGATATCGTCTTGCCTGCAGTTTATTCTCCATTAAAGTATTTACTTTATCACAGCTACTACTCTCGTAAAACACACAAGGATTTGTGTTTTTATCAGTATTTTGTAAATTTTTATCATTAGTCTGAGAACGACTGACTTGTGTTTTGCTATCTAGCATTTCATCTACTGCTTTTAACAAAATCACTGGGACTTTGCTGTTGATCTTCACTAATGTCAGATTTGCAATCTTCTCTGCGATTCTTTCAGCCAGTGGTGGAAGTTTCTTCTTCTGGACATTATGTACTGTGGGGAAAAAACAGTAATAAAGTCAGGAAAACATGTTTCTGAGGTAGAACAAAAACAGCAATATGAGGATTGGGGAGGGGGGGGGGGGGGGGGGGTGGACTGTCTATACTGCCTGTATCTGACACCTGGTGGTGCAGGACAGGGGCTGGTTGTTGTTGTTATTGTTATTCATCCAGCGGCGCATGAGCTTTCTTTCGCTCTTTGGCCCAATGCCATGTAGTGGAATTTACATGTTTTCACAAGCTGTTCTTTTCCTTCAAACAAGGTATTCCACCTGTCTGGTTTCAGAGGGAGTAGCATTCTTATAGTATGGTTGAGTTTTGGGCACTCAAAGAGATGATGGTCAACAGTTTCGTAGGGGTAGTTACAAAGCTGGCACTCTGGGGAGTGACAGGGGGTGGTGAACTGGAGGATTTAGGGCTATATGGCTAGAGTAAAGTTAAAAGGAAAGTAAAGGGCCCTTTTCCACACATTCAGACATTTTGGGCATATAGGGACCTAGACCTATATTTTATAAACCAAGTGGCACTCAGTGGATCATGTGGTCATCATCATGCAGACCACCTTTACTTCCCAGGAATTTTACCTGGTACCTATTTAAGGCTAGGTCGACCTGGAAGCCAAGGTCATTTCTGAAAAAAAGTGTGGTTTCTTTTCAGATCTGCAGACGCATCTGGCCACGCTATTGCTAGAGCAGCTGCCATAAACAAGCTAAGATATTTTTGGGACCCCAACAGAAAAAAATCTCCATATTTTACTGAGGACTGAGCCTGGGTCTTTTGCATAACAGCCCAGTGCACTGAACATTTGGCAAGACATAACCAGAACAATTATCTTGTTTTTCTTCTTCACGTTCACCGGCTGTGAACTCCAGCAGAAAGTCTGGCTGTCTGTCTACTTCTGGACTTTCGTCTTGTTCTAGAACTATAGATTTGCATGCACATTCATTTTACATATTTAAATGCAGACTAGCTGTACCCTGCCACGCGTTGCTGTGGCGTAATTTGAGATAATCTTTGATCCCCCCCCCCCCCCCCCCCACAACTAAATCCACCTAGTACCCTCTCCCTCATCAAAGGTTTTTAGAAAAGAAAGACAATGGAAATCGCACCTGTCTAATGAAGTTAATGACGCAGTCAATGTCTGCGCCAACGTCAAGATAGTCCTTGATTGCCCCCCCCCCCCCCTTATCGAAAATGAAATCATGTTTAATATGTTTATTGTGGCAAATATAGAGATAGTCTTGTTTGCGGTACCTCGACCTACTCTATGTATCAAGGCGTTGGCTGCACGTAACTCGCCGGCGAATGGCTGAAGCCTTGCGTTCTGACTACGGCGGCGCATGCGCAATTACTAACGTGGCTATAATTAGAAATCACTAAAGTTATAAATATTAGTTGCGTATATTTTGGCATAAATTGTGGTCACCTATCTCTAACAGTGACAGGTTGAATTTCAAACCACGACGGTTCAAAATCCGGTATCACAACAAACATATCCTGAAAATTTCAGCCAAATCGGTTCAGTAGTTTCCGAGTCTATAGAGACCAAACAAACACACAAACATTGATTTTTATATATACATAGATATATATATATAGATATATATATAGATAGATAGTCTGGTTTTCCAACTTTAGAACACGCACCATATAATTGTGTCTTTATATTAGTGGTCGTTTAAATGGTGTTATTAGCACAGTAACAAAAGTGGTTATTTGGTTATCACATGCTAAAGCTGTTTGTATTTTTATAGGAGACGGAAGTAAAGCTACAACTGTACTTGTAAATAACAAAGTAAGTCGTAAAAAATAGAAAAGCGGAGGTAGCTTTAGTAAAATATAAACAAATTAGGTAATAAAAACTTGAAAATCACGTGTAAAGCTCTTTAAGTTCTCTTAAATTTAAGTCATTACTCCTCTCCCCTCCCCTCTTCCACCGACTACTGCTCTCTCCCTCTTCGAAGGATTTGAAAATCACTAACTGGCGATATTTTGTTGTTGCTGTAACTGACATTGACATCCCTGTCCATCTGGACTAAAATAAGGAGCAGGAATTGTAAAAGGTAGTGAATAGGGCTAGTGAAATATTTACCACATCATCCTTCAAGTACCAGTACAACTACTAAAATAATGTCACTGCTATATGTGTTACCATCGGAGTAGACAGAGAGTCGTGAGCCAGAAGATTTGGTTCCGCATGGCTAGTGCTGTCACCACAGACTGGTCAGGTTAGGATGTATAATTTCACTTGCCGACAGAAGAACACGCCATAACCTTACCGGCGGTCTTCACATGAGAGCACTATGGTGTAACAGCCCAACCACAGCTATTACTGCTGCTGCTACTTTAAGTGGGTAAAGCAGTTACTGTGACTTAAAGCTCTCTCAGTTAATAGTTTGCCCCCCCCCCCTTCCCCCCAAATTCACCGACAACTCTTTCCCACATTGAAGTAGTTGGGAGAAAAAAAAAAAAACACTTGAAAAGAAAATGAGCACAGGAAAAAACCACCATAATTAGGAAATGAACGCCATTGTAAACAGCACAGCTTAAAATTCCAAAACAGATGAAATAACTAAATCTAAATGAAAATCTATAAAATTTCAGCGTAACCATGCAATTGGAAAGTTTAACAATGCAATCATAAGTATGCGAAATGGTCAAATTTAATTATCAAATGGTTTACCCATTTACTTGTTTTTTTTTTTTTTTTTTTAATATTAAGGCAACATGGCTAGTGCTGTCACCACGACAGAGCAGATGAGGATATTATTTTAGTCCGGGGTAAAAAAAAAAATTTAACTACTGCGGATTCGAACCCAGGTCTACCGCACTTGAACCCAGTGTTCTAACCATTCGACCAAGCAGCCACTTAATCGGAATAACGAAAAGAGAACACAACTATTAGACATATGTGTCCCTACCACTGTGTCGCGATTAAAACACAATTCAAAACCGCAGGCAATTGTTTTCTCGTAGACAGATACTCCAGATATATTAATGAAATAGAAATCGCACGTGTCTAACACGGTTAATGAAGTTAATGTCCCAGTCACTGTCTGCGCCGACGTCGAGATAGTCCTCGATTGCCCCCCCCCCCCTCTTCCATCGAAGGTTGTTTGAAAAAAAAAACCCAGAAAATAGAAATCGTGTTTAATATGGTTATTGTGGCAAATATAGAGATAGTCTTGTTTGCTGTACCACGACCTACTCTATGTATTAGTATTAGAGAAGGCGTTGGCTGCACGTAACTCGCCGGCGAATGGTAAATACGGCGCATGCGCAATTACTAACGTGGCTATAATTAGAAATCACTAAAGTTATAAATATTAGTTGCGTATATTTTGGCATAAATTGTGGTCACCTATCTCTAACAGTGACAGGTTGAATTTCAAACCACGACGGTTCAAAATCCGGTATCACAACAAACATATCCTGAAAATTTCAGCTAAATCGGTTCAGTAGTTTCCGAGTCTATAGAGACCAAACAAACACACAAACATTGATTTTTATATATATAGACTATTGGTTCCTCACCTTTGAGGCAGCCTCGCACTATGAGTTTTAAGAAAACCCCCATAAAGTCATCTCTTATGATTAAAACATACTTATTTGGGGGGGGGAGGGGGAGGGTGGTTGGAGGGTCTACACCCCTCTTCCCCCCCCCCCCCCCCCCAAATCCACACACAGAGAACAATAATCTTAGATATACAAAGATTTGTCTCCATAAATATTTATTACCAATCTGACTTAAGAAGTCATATGATAACAGTACCTAGATCTTTACATTTCAACCTTAAGGTTTTTGTTTCAAATCCACATCGATGCAGACTAACTCTTTGACTTCCAAGGGATGCTTCATACGTTCATAGGTTCCTACCTAGAAGCCCAATGAACGCATGTTGTGCCGATTTTATTACTTTCTTTACTACCCCCTGGGCCTGTGATGCTAAACCCCCTGGGACTCAAAGAGTTAAATCTCTGTAACTGGTCATCTCTTTCCAGTTGGTGACTCCAAGAGTTTGTAGGTCTGTCTAGATATTATCTCTCCAATGTCATCTTGGTCTGCCTCATGGTCTACTGCCATTCAAAACCCTTGTGTATACAGCTTTTTTTCTCTCTCTCTGTCATCTGCCATGCACCTTATAAGCCCCAGCCATTTCAGCATTAGCTCTCATGATGCCAGGGTCAATGATGATTTAAACACTTTATGAATTTCATTTCTGCCTCTCCACTCCCCACTCCCTACATCTCTGATGGCATTTTTAAAAATTCTTGTAAAGACATGTAAAGCTGCAGGTTTCAGAACCTCATAAGACAACTGGTCATACCAGCGTTTCATAAACTATGATCCTGGTGTTATTAAGAACAATATTGTAAATTAGTAATTGATAACCTGATTCTGTATGAGTATCTTTTTCTTAACAATTCCAAGTAAACTACGGTACTCAAATATAAAGAGAAATTGATATGCTTATCCATTATAATTAACTATATAATTACTCTCTAAATCTTGATCTAATTCATTATAACTTAACATGATAATTAATCTAAAAGCCTCAATTTCATTTATTAAAACCTTTCATAATGAATACTCTTTAAAGATTAACATATTATGTTACAAGAAAAGGAAAAATTATCAAAAAAGATAGTGGCGGGCAAATGACAAAAATACCTTTATCAACTCCTACACAGAGAGTTTGGAAGTTACTGACCAAGAAAAGACATGGGTAAATGCCACAATCCTGGCTTATGATGTATGTGAGGGATTTCAGAGTAAGCACAGATCTAGAAAATGCATATAACGGGGTTAGATATGGTGTTTTACTGTACACACTTATGGAAATAAGAGAAATGTCCCTGGATCATCATTTGGATTGCAACAGTTCTGTATGAACATCCGACTGCTTTCCACCTAGGTTTGTGGAGCTCTGAACCTTGTAGTATCGCATCTGGACTCCATTTCCCCTACGCTTTTCTATGAGTACATAAGGCAACACAGGCAGTGAGGATTGGTAGAATTCTGACATTTGCTGATGATGTTTTAGTCTAGTTTTAGAGGCATGATCGCCCACGCCAGTCGGCAAGGCACCTGATGATGATGATGATGATGTTTTAGTCTACAGACAGGGGAGAAATAGAATAGAAATATCTAAATAACTGCAGAATACAGTAGACAAGGTACCGAGTGGTGTCAGGAAGCAGGTTCTATCATCAACCCAGATAAATCCAAGCTGTAGTGTGGTGTTTATTAAATAATACAACTGCTAGAAAAGAGGTTCCGAACATCACAATAAATGGAGTAACATAAAGATAGAGAATTCACCGAAATATCTTGGTATAACTTTTTACAGGAGCCTGTCGTTCAGGTACCACGTGTAACAGCTAGCATTAAATATAAGGAAAGACCTGAGTTTAAGGTGATGGCATCAGTGGACATAGAACAGAGAATGCACAATACATGATACCAGCAACTTATTATTTCGGTGATGGAGTATTGTTTGGGCCTCCTTACGTTATCCAACAGACAAATACAGAAGCTGCAGCATATGCAAAATGAAGCCATGATTCATTTTAAGACGTACATGAGACGTGCCAGTCATACACATGTGGCACATACTTGCATTCTGTCGGTACATGAAAGATACAAAATGTTACAGGAGAAAATATACTTCAAAGTCTCAACAGACAGGGAACACATTCTGTATGAGGCCTTGGGGGATAGCAAGGTCACTAGCTAAAAAGAGGTAGCTCTTGGACGGCACAGGCACAATCAGAACTGTTTGTGCTTCTGACAAGATAGCGCATGGTGAGAAAACGGTAACAGTGCTGTCCAGCAAAACAGATCTGCAGAGTGATAGTCACCATGGACTGAGGGTGCTGAAAATGGATAGTGGGTGAAACAGAGGCTTCGGTGCAAGAGCTGATCCATGAAAATTCACTCCCACGAGACCCTGTTTTATACACAGATGGATCTATAGTGAGAGGTAGAAAAAGTAGGTAGGGTTTTATTGCAAAAGTGAATGGACACTATCTGAAAACAGACAGCCTCATCACTACATCATGTATGAGAATGGAGGTGGAGGCAGTAACGGCAGCTTTCTCACTGCTGTAGAGCAGCACAGCCCCAACATGTGGTAATTATAAGGTCTCACAAAGTATGCTTCAGAAAGTAGAAACTGGCATCCTGCATGCAGAGTGACTTGCATCACTTCATAAGACTCAGATCAGGAACATATTGATTTTCTGTCCAGGATATTAAGGTGTGTGGGGTAATGAGCAGGCTGATAGACTGGCTGCTGTCGCTCCTCTGGGTGGTGATCTACTTTATGACAAAATGGATGTGGTAAAGGCTGTCTGGGATCAAATGGACAGTGCAACAGAACAGAGAGAGCATCCACACATAGATTAATTCAGCTGTGAGTGAGCAGTGCGTCTGGAAGATATTCAACACTGAGGGGAAAACAGAGGTAAACTTGTAATCAGGTTGCAGTTAGTACTATTAGCATACTGATTCTTCGTGGCTACTGAAGAAGGAGACAGACCACTGTCGTGATTGCAGGGATGTCAATTTTTGAGTGATTCACTTATTTATATAATGTATTATAACTCACCAGTATAATTACTCTCTACATTTTAATATAATTTATTATAACTTACTTTGATAATTAATCTCTAAATCTTGATCGGACCCTGAATCAGCTTGATCCTTAGGTGGAGACATGTTGCCTTTAATTGACTTGATCCTTTGTACAGATTTAGAAACATCACGTTGCAGTCTCCTGATATTGTCATAGGTTTGTCTGACCAAAAGGTAGCACTCTCGACAAATGTAACTTCTCCCAAATTTAGTTGAATATTTTCTCTGAAGTGCTAACAAATCTTCCTGACCCATCAAAGCTCTGAGCTTAGCTTCAAATTTAGCCATGAAAGGTCTTGTTCCTCCAAACATAAACAACCTCCCTCCTCTTTTGGTTTTGATCCATACAGTCTTACACATGAGGCAAACAATTGGCGACCCTTTCTCCTGCTTCTGTTTTGTCTTTGCCTCTTTTGTAAGTTCAAGTTTTGTTTCATCTTTAAATGTATCATAACTTGGAACATCTTCCTCATCACAAGTATCTTCCTCATCAAATTCAGAGTAGTGATCATTTTCTTTATCAATCTTGTTTGCTGAGTCATCCATTCTGCAAAGAAAAAGAAAAAAAGATAACAGTAGGGATGTTTGTTGTTGTTTGTTTGGGTTTACCAGTTGTAAACCCCGACAAAAAGACCTTGTTTGTCTATTTATGGACTTCCGCTGTGTTCCAGGACCTGGGTTTTGCAAGTGCATCCTTTTTACAGAACTTGCTTATTTGTGTGCAAACTGTTGGTTATTTGCCTCTCAGGCAGTTGCACTCCAGCTTTGAAGGAAACCCCAAATTAGTCGCCTCTCACAACATGATTGTTGGGAAGGTAGTGGATCTATTTTTGGTAATCCCCCACAATGGGGCCCCGGAACCCACAAGGAGAGGTAAGAGTAGTGACATGATAGTTACTGCTGTAGAGATATTTTGTTTAAGTTAAGTATTTAATGTTTATATCTTCTTCTTCTTTTCTTCATGCTGAGCAGCATTGGTAACTGTGACTATTCACAGCTTCTTGATTTGTGATTGGTACCTTTTCGTCTTTCCAGACAATAATGTCATATTGTGCTACAAGAAGGCATGGGACTCACAGCCCATGGCGATGGTGAGTGTGACTAGCAAGACATGCCCTTGTTAAGAAAAGTCTTCCACAACTATATCATAGGATTTCAGGACCGTTGTTGTCAACATTTGTTTTTAGTCTGTCTCTTCTCAGACTATCAGCTCTCATCCTCAATCACTTCTTCCTTCATTCTCAGTCTCTTCCTGATGTGCCCCACCACCCAATATGGTCCATGTCATCCCCCTCCCCCCCATGAGTCCACCTTAATACATGTATCATTCATGTCCCATTTACGCACATCTTTATATAGTAGTAGAGGTTGGCTTTGACCTCTTCTACCCATCTTTAATTAACTATAAAGGATGTCCTTAGGGACTCTGCCGTCCTCCATTCTCCAGGTGTGACCCAGCCACCTTGACCCTTTGAAGACTGAGCACTGAGAAGACTGTTGTAATACCTGCTCTTTCCAATACCTCAGTGTTTGTGATCTTGTCATGTGTAAGTTTTCTTCTTTTCTACTGGTGCAAATAAGTTGACCAATTTTCACTGTCATAAAACAAAGTGCTGAGAACACAAGCTTGATAGACAAGAGTTTTTGTTTTAATCATGAGCTTTCTGTTCTCCCAAACTATTATTGTTAATCTGCTTATTGGTGTTGCTGCCGTACCTATCCTGAGTTGATGTTTTTGTCTTGTGTACTGTCAATAACTTCTGAGACACATCTTCTTCCATGCCATGATGCCAAACTGACTAATGACCTCTCACTTGGTTTTCTCCACTTCCGTTTCCATCTAACTTTCCTCCTGTCACAATTTATTCCAGGTTTGCATCAAAGAAAGTGAACTGTCTTTTTTCTGATGTGGGTAACCAGTTCTCTTTCGGTACCATGCTGCTTATCCCATATTTATGAGTTAGCTTAAAGGCAGTGCACAATTCTAACTCTTCTTTCATCAAACATAGTTGTTATATTATAAAATCATTACCCAGAATCATTAGTTTTACTCCTTTTGCCCATAGTGCTATTTGTTTTTAACCTCTTTGATTTTAAACACTGGCTACTTTGAAACTAAAATTTCTCAGAATAGAATATGTTAAAGTAATTGATAAGGCTGGTACCAAAAGAGGTCCATACCTGTCAAGTCATCTTCACTGCACTTGTTACCTATTCATGGTGTTCTCACAATTCTTCTTAAGACATGACTGCATCTTTCACCTAATATTGATTGTATGTATGTCTTTCCCCTTGTGGGGGGGGGGGGCGTTTTGGGGAACACAAGAATGATTCCACTGCCTCCCCAACAAGCCTGTCGTAGGAGTCGACTAACTGGGGGTTTCCTTCGAAGCTGAACTGAATCTGCATGAGGGGCAAGGAAGCAACAATCTGCATTCAAATAAATCAGATCTGTAAAATGGATGTGCACATAACACTCAGGCTCTGTAACAAGATTAAAGTCCAGAGATGAACAAACAACCAGAACTTTCTGCTGGAGTTTTGTGAAAGCAAAGAAGAAGAACGAAAAAAATTATTTGAAATACTATGAAATGCATAAACTAATGCTTTGAAAGAGAATGTCTATATATGATAGGAGGGAGGTTGGTGGGAGACTGCTCCCTAAAATTTACTGGGAGGTGGGCTGATCCCCAGTCTACACACACAAAAATGTGGAAGTCTCAAAATGACTGAGCTTCCAGGTTCCTGTACCTATATTCCAAGTATATTATATTTATTTGTCATTCAACACACTATTATTATTTTACTGTTTATACGCTGAATGGTAAATAAATTTAATACTATACTTGAAATAATATGAAATGCATAAATAAATACTTTAAAAAAATTTTTTCAATAAATGATTAAAAGGGGAACCTCTAAGTCCACTTACAAAATTATTGGTCCCCACAGGCCCTAAAGGCCCAAGTGCCTATGGCCATGACTTCAGACAATATACCACAGCCAACACTACTCTACTGTGTCAGTGTCTATATAATCACCACCCCAAAAAGAAAAAAGTAATATTTCACATAATGATACAGTGTAATAGTTAAAAATTGCATAAATATCTGAAAGAAATTATTGTATTAAAGGATATATTGAATATAATAAAAATATAGTTATTATACTTTTAATACTCTGAATACTCAATGAACACTTTATATCCCAATTATTTATATGTGCCCTGTGTTTGAATATAAACATTGAATTTTTATAATTAACATTATTCTACTACTTACTACTATTCATTTTACTTTTGCTGATATAATAATAATACCGCAATGGAAAGTAAGTTGCTGTCCCAAATAGTATTTGAAATACCTGACCTCCTTTTAAACAATCAACATTTAACAAACTTGCTAGCTACTAGCAGAGTCAGAACGTAAAATATATGTATGGCATCTTTTTCAGACCAAACCCAAATCCACTGACTTGAATGACACAACAAACTGTATTCGTTTTTACAATTCCAAACAACCTCCCTGTCTTCTGCATAGCTAGGATTAGGATGCATTCATCTTAAGCATTGATTTTGTGCCAATTCTGCCAGTAACCTGGTCTACATATTGTGAGGGTAGAGTATCTCAGAGACAAATGCTGTATACATAACAGGTGAAAATATTGAAAATAGATGGATGGGAGGGAGCAGACCACGGAGTTGTACTTTGGTAGTAGTTTTATAGTATTTAGTTAAAGAGACGATGGAATATATAATATATGTATGCGGCCTAAAAGTAAGTAAAACCGTTGCAGTGCCGATTGGAAAGAGCATGTCAATCATACAGATGATCAGAGGCGAGTAATATTTGCAGCAAGGAACCATAAAAGATTGGAAGGCTAAATGAATAAGGACGAGGAGTGAAAAGTGTATACTATCATACAGTATATTACTGTATCGTTAACTAAAGCCCGGTGTCTCTGCCTCTTGTCAGGTCATTGAATGATTCCTACTGCACTCTGCCCGTCCCACACGGAGAACCTTCGGTGGGACTGTTATTATTTAATTATTACTTCAAATGCTAATGTTTTTCTAAACAAGCTGTAGCTGTGCATTTCATCCAATCAATTGTGTAAACATGCACAAGTTATATATGTTACCCTGATCCAGAGAAAACACACGCTTCTGGTCAATAATGCTCCTAAATGTTACCCACAATCCACTGACATAATGCAGTCATCTATAAATAGATGCTCATTATGAACAGTGAATCTTGTGCGGTGTCCACCTAAAAATGTAGCTTTCTTTCTTTTGTCCTTCTTCTTCTTCTTCTTCTTCTTCTTCTGCTCCTTCTTCTTCTCCCCCACCTTGTACCTTATCGAAGTGTCGGGGGAGATGTAACATTAGTTGATGAGCTCTGTCGAGAGCGCTATTAAGATTGATGTTCATTTCTGCAAGGCTGTTATTAATGCCATCACTCCATTTTTCCGAGGTCTTCCACTCGCTTTTCTATACCCGTTGTAACGTTTTAGTGTGGCTCGCTGTGGCAGATAGTACTTTTGTCCATTTTCTGCCTTGTACCGCTAGGCATGGCGGGTTAACAGACGATCGGTTTCCGAACTAGGGCACGCTCGGTTGACCGGTATTCTGTGATGATGTGCAGTCTTAAGATATCAGCTACGTCTTGTCTTCAATTCACCCTCTTCTTGGTTGTCCCCTACATTTTGGTGTTTTTACTTTCCTGGTGTACGCTCTCGTTTCTGTCAACATTGGATTCATTCTCATTAATTAAGCTAAGCCATCCCAGTCTTTTTTTTTCAATGCATTTAATTATAGGCGTTGTTGCAATTGTAATTTTTTCTTTTCTCACATGATTTCTTCTTCTTTTTTTTTCACGGCCTGTCTCAAACATCTCATTTCGCAGGTGGTCAGTTTTCTTTCATGTTCTTTACTCGGCGTCCAAGTCTGATACTGACAGCACAAGGTTGTTATGAAGATTGCATTTATCATTTGTCTTTTTATCTTAGGATGGCCGGGGGTTTCAAAATTGGGGTTAGTTGATACGTGACATTGCTGGCTTGGCAGATTCTTGTTTAAATCTCTCTGTCTGTTCTGAGAAATTTATTACCAGGTTGATTCAATATGGCATCATCATCATCTTCATGTAGCAGATCCTTTACAGAATGTAGCTCTCATTGCAAATCGCCTCGTTCTCTCACCAGCTCTTGCGTCTCGTACACTTTCCTACCCAGAGTGTCTGCAACATTCTGTACCCATCTTCCTACTGACTGGCCCCTATAACTCTTTCCCGCTGCATGTTCTACGCTACTGGTTTTGATTGGCCTCTATAACTCTTTCCCGCTGCATTTTCTACTCTACTGGTTTTTATTGGCCCCTTTTACTCTTTCCCGCTGCATGTTCTACTCTACTGGTTTTGATTGGCCTCTATAACTCTTTCCCGCTGCATGTTCCACTCTATTGGTTTTGATTGGTCTCTGTAACTCTTTCCCGCTTCATGTTCTACGCTACTGGTTTTGATTGGCCCCTATAACTCTTTCCCGCTGCA